ACTGTCTTTAAGACACAATCTTGCATCACATGAAATTAATTCTGTGTTAGGATGTTAAAGCAGGAAATGTATTTGGTTTATTTGGCACAGACAAGAAAGTGACGCCTATTAGTTAGACAAAACACAGGGAAGTATAGCAAAATTCCTTACTGAACCAAATTAGCTCATGTAATTTTATTTGAGAGGATGTTTGCTGATGGAGTTTTCCGGATTAGTAAACATACAGAACCATTTAACTTATAAACATCCATCTTGTCCTCAATATAAAGAACACACACACACACAAAATAATAGTAGCACTAGCATGTAGCCTACCGTCTCAGTAAAGGTGTTCATTTCGAGTTGGACAATCTAATGCCTACAGAGTCAGAGTGGAACAGCTATGGTTTAGTTTAATTACAGTTATTATACCGTATTTGTCATCTGCTTGTATGTATCCATTATTCATTATTAGCCTACAAGTCTGCGGTTTTGGACCAGGTCTGAATGATGATCAAACATACTGAGGAGTTTAACAAAGTTTATTGTACATCACACAAAGCATCAGTTTTACTTCAGAAAATCACCGTAAGAGCGGAGTAAACACAGTAAGTTATTAAAAGTGCGCAAGTTGAGGGAGCATTCCTGTGGGCAGACGTTAGTCAAAAAAACTGTTACTGACGTCATTAAAGAAGGAAGTAGAGGGATGTAGTTCAAACGGGCCGCTCGATGTAGGCTACTTCAGTTAAATAAAATATCTTGCTTGACATTGAACTTTGAGCTTTAAAATTTTACAGATAGTATTTATACTCTAACAACAACATACACACTAACTAAAGTATGAAACATGGGATCACGAAGAACGGGACCTTATATCATAGAGACAAAAGGCCTAGCTGTACCAGAGAAGTGACCAAAGGTTATAGTCAGAGTGTGCACTTTCTCAGTTAAAACTACTCTTAAACCTTTATGAAACATAATAAATTTGTATTCCTTCAGTATTAAGACAACTCCTCCAATGTAGTTTATTTCTTGTACTACGCTCTTTCCTCATTACTCTCTCAGTTTACACAAAAACTTTTCCGTTTGAGCAGGACATGAGTTGAGGGAAATGTTATGCCTAACGATTGTGATGCTTCCCAAACAAACATTAGGCATGATTCATTTTAATCATGGAAATTCAAATTTCCAGTCTCAGTACATATACTTCATGGAAAAAATGAGTATGATTTTCAAGCACACTGTCTTTTTCAAAGGCACATTTTCAGGACTTAAGTTCTGCAGTATATTCTAAAAGTTCCATCACACCCTGTTTCACTACATTTCCATCCCTGAATACTGTATGCATTATGAGGCATTAGTCATTGCGGCATTGTAGTCATGGTTACTAAGTTCAGAATTTTAAAACAGCAGCTGTCTGTACAGGACACCCAGTGAGATTTCAATCGAGTTTATTGTTCAGATAGATTGGTGAGTCAATGAAGCAACAAGGGAGGGTTAAACTGTGGCTGCTGCTGGCAGCTGGATCGGGGGATTTGATACATAGTAAGCACTTGGACCATTTAGGGCCAAGGACTTTAACACAGGGGTTTTTATTCCAGATTTTTAGTCTGTTAAATAGTGGGTATAAAAGTGATTCTTGTTCATGTAGCAAAACCCCATTCCAAGATGTAAACAGGAAAAAGGTAAATAAATGCCTGGTTGTACGTTATTTTTGATGGAGGAAAACAAAGACAAAACAAGAACTTGTTTATCATAACACCAGTTTTTATTTATATAGCATAAGTGGTGTCATTGATTTATTGTATTTATAACATAATATGCAACATATATTTGCTGAAATGGCCACAGTTTTAGCTATAGCCAGAAATCTGGACACAGCATGCGACCACAGCTTTTGCTCTCATCATAACTTGTAATCCTGACTCAGTATATGCATTTTTTTTGTTTATATTGGATGTGCAGATTTTTTAGTGCCAGCGTTTTTGTCTTTAGGCTTCAACACCACAGGAAGAATCTTAAAAAGTCAAATTCAAAACAGATTTACCCCTCAAACTGTCCAGAGAGAGAAAAGGGAAAAGATTATGGTGAAAGGAGGATTTTAGAAATGTGTTTTGCACATGGTGTGCACAGCTGCCAGCCATCTCTGAAAATCCATTTCATCTGATTTAGTCTTCTCACAGAAATTAAAGAGAGAGAGAGAGTTTGGAAACCAGCACAATCAGTTGATCAGCTGCGATGAACATTCTGTCTTGTAGACCCTTTGCTTACAATCCTAGGGTCTCCCTGAGGACAGCTGGTGCCGTTTTGAACCTCAGTCTCAGTTACAAAGTCATCTAGGTGTCTTGGTTTAGCAAAAGTGCTACTAAATATAGGAAAAATAAAGGAATTTATGGATATATGATATCTGAAAGTTATGATGATTTTGCTTTCATTTTTGGTGCATCAGAGTATTGAGTTCCTTTTAGACCAAACTTCTTTACTCAGTTTAGTTTTGTTGCTCAGTGCAGCCTGTGTCCAGCTGGAAATAATGTGCTGTCTGTGAATTATCTTTATTGATGGTCTGTGCCCATCTGGCCTTGTATAAAACTGTAGTAAACCGCAGCTCATGTTGAAGAGAAAAGGATTTCGACTCTCAAAGTCTTGTTAATGAAACTTTCTGAATTTGTAGCTTGATATTTTTGCTTTGAAACAGATTTGCTGTTTTAACATTAGAATATTTGGCATTCAAAAGAGTTTGTTGATTTCCGAGTACACTGACACCTTTGTTCAATTCTTTGGTTAAGTAGTTCTTATAGCTGGATGAACATTGGTGAATTGCAAGCCAACACTGCTTGGTAAACAATTTATTTGCAAAATTGGCAATGATTGTATTTACTTTTTATCGGAACTGGATCTAGCAGGCCATAGTAATTTAGAATGAAAAAAAATAAATAAATACTTTGTTCCTCATCAGTGTAGCAGCAGAAAAGGCAGAAAACTGCGACAATTAATCGTTTTTGTTTTTTAATAGAGCTATTTTGTAATCATATTATGATATGACATTTACCTTTAATAATAAATGTAACATTGTCATTGCAATTGTGCATGCATCTTTATTACTTTCTCAAAAACAGAATCCACATATCAACACATGAATATTGCCGATTAAAGATTTAGCTTGAATGTATTTTTATGATATAAAGGAGCAGAGAATAACTGACAGATTAGGAAGTAAAGGGAAGTAATTTGACTCTTGCCGTGTGGTTTGATGTGGTATTAGCAAAAACCTTTCCAAAAGTATGTGCACACAAACATGCTGAATCTAACTCAAAGAATGTCATGGCCTTGCAGTTAGAGCACATGCACCTACACATTGAGTCGCTGTACGTATGTGTTCATGCAAGATATGTGATTTTTGGGTCTGACTCACACCATTCCCCATTCTGCAGTCTTCTCTCTGCTGTATTTTTTTGTTCTTTTAATTACTGTGAAAAGGCCCCCAAAATAAACTACACATCAATCATAATTTTATCTAGTTTTACTTCTTGCAGGTTGGTTTACGGACATGTGTTTCAGCACAGTCCATGACTAAGCAGAGGAAACTCAGGGAATTTCACAGAACTCCACAATATCCATCCAGTTACCCATGGAAAGTCTTGGACAGCGCATCACTTTTCCATGAAAAGGTAAATGGAGGTTTAAACCCACCATTAACATTTTGTAACTATACAATTACAAATTTGGTATTTTTGCCAGTTTTTAAATCAAGCAATACTTTCAACATTCAGATAGTCCAGTGTGTCAAAACTGTGATAAAACCCAAACCATTGTTTGCGTTCACTTTAAGTTCCTTTCTGCTGACAAACCCTGATATCTGCTATTCCTATTGAATTGACACATCTGCTGTTTAAACTGAGACTACCAGCACGAAAGATGAAGCCTCTGTGACGTACAGTATTTTTACAATACAGGTCCTGAAGCACAGTGCCTTTAAATTGATTGTCGTATAGTCTCAGACTCTCAGCTGATTCATAGGAAGAGTGTACATATTTTAATTGTTTATTTGAGTATTTGAGTGTTTCATTGCAGTTAGAACCTAATTGTCTGATTTGTTTATTTCATATACAGTATAGTATATGTGCGTGTGCGTGTATGGGTATTTTTGTTTGTTTTTCAAAACTTTCTTCAAGCCTTATTTTTCAGTATACAGTTGACCATGACATTTTGTTGGACATTAGGTGACAGGTGCACAGAGGTAAGGGGAAAGTAAAAGGCCCCACATTATATGCAGCCCGTTCTCATCCTTTAACGTCATATAGAACGCTATATGCAAAAACGGCGCTATACTACGCACATGGCACCCTTTATCGTTAATATAACACGCGAACCCAAGACGTCATAAATCCTTTAGCGTGAATATGACACGCAGACCCTACCCCACACCTAAACTTAGCCCTCACAGCGCGTGTTATATTAACGATAACGGGTGCCATGTGCGTAGTATAGCGCCGTTTTTGCATATAGCGTTCTATATGACGTTAAAGGATGATTTTTATAAATAGACTGCTCTTTTAAATACAATAGGAACACATGATCCTGTGAAGTGCTTTTGTCTGTAATTTGACATTGATCTGTTATAATTGCACATCAGTGGAGCTGAATTTGTCAACACGTCTCTTATATTGTGTTAGGTAATCACTGCATTAAATCACAGGCATCAGTTGTTGCAAGTCTCTTTCATTCCAAAGGAGAAAGAAAAACTTGCTTTGGTTTCTTACATCACTGTGGCGAGCTGGACGAGGACGAGGGCCATGGGAGAACAGCGCGAGGCCGGTTGCGTGATTGCCACCTTCCCAATAAGGAACAGCCACCAAATACGGCCTTGGGTCTGTTTCTCATTTATGACTCTCTCACTCTCTTTTTTCTCCTCTTTGTGCTTTTTCCTTCTCCTCTCTGCAGAGCAAAGTAGGAGGCGTGGAAACATTGTGTGGCTCTGCTCCAGGATTCTCTGAGTTGTGTGCTCTGTCCCAGGCTGGAGTGAGTTGCACTGCTCCTCTGGAGAGCAAACAGTCAGCTCAACGGACGAGAGTCTCACAACAAAACTCAATCACACAAGCTGATCAGCATCATCTCTATCTGACCCATCCAGAACCCTTCACAGAAGGAAGATATCAGATAGAAGATAATGACCTAAGAGTTGCCTTTTTGCAGATATTTGAAATTCCATAGAAAGACTGTGGAATACAGCGCTCTGAATTCTGTATTCCAGGGGTAAGTGGCTCAATTGGGCAAATACAGCTTTGTAAAAGAAGTGTTTTAGTGCATGTGTAAGACAAGATGCAAGAGCTAAAATCCATTTGACTAAAATCTGCCGTTGCATGTACGCCTTTTTTTACCCTATAAAGCTTGGGTTATTTGTATGGCTATTCCAATGCCCACAATGTGTAGGCAGTTTTACTTCTTAATTATAGTTTTAATGTTAAGAATTGACTGGGTACAGCAAATTCCAAAGCTTTGGGAGAAACAGGGAATTTTTCTTACACCACAGGAAGAGGCATTGCAGAAGAGGCAAAGCAAAGTGCTCAGATAATAGATTACATTAGGAGAGGTTCTGTGCTAAGGGTGTGTTCAGAGGGAGAACTTCAGCAGGAACGTTTATGAGACAACTGTTGCAATATGTTATCAAATGTTTTTTATATGGTTGCACATAACCTAATTGATTCTGGTATGTAAAATCCACATTTTACTAGATATTTTGCAGAATTATCACCACATCACCAGTTTGGTAGAGTTGTTATGCTGCTTTTTGTTTATGAAGGTCTAACACACCCGGATGAGGATAATACTGATTATGATCTTGTTTGAACATAAGCAAGAAGCAGAACAAGTCAGGAAGTTCTGTTGCACGTAGAGTAGACACTATTCAGACTTTTTTTTACTTTCTGCCCAGCTCTGTAAAGACGGGGTGATGTGAAACACTTTTTCCACTGTCCCTGCCAGATGGACAAAGAATGCTGGGAGAATTAGAGCTCAGACATTAAACTTAAGTGAAGCAGAACCAGATGTGGACCCTTGAAAACACCATAGAAATTAGATTCATTACAGTTATTTCCCATTGAAATAGGAATACAGACATAATTGTCACACATGCAACACCGTATAGGGTATTAGTAATCACCATTTATGGGTAGATAAGGTATAAAGGTTTACCTCTTATAGTACTGTCCCAGTGACAAGTTAAAGGTAAAAAAAAAAAAGAAAGTGTGGCTTTTCCAATGTTGGGCCAGCTTTAAGAAAGACTGACATGGAGAGGTTGTTATCCCCACTAGAGGCCAATGTTGAGACACCTTGCAATACCCATTTGGTGCTTTGGTTTTCAGACTGAGCTTAAGGGGGCAGGGATTGAATTTTTTTTATCTCATTACTGTTCCTTGGGCATTGAAACCTTTAATAACCTTGAGGCAGCAAAATCATGCTGGAAAATCCTCTGAGAGATTTCCATGATTTGAAAGTTAAACATGTGCAGATGCTTGTATGGTTGTTTTGCCTCTGATTCATAGAGTTTGTAATTAATTAAACTGATTTGTTCTTTCTGTCTTCGTACAAGAACAATTCACATTGAAATGCCAAGTTTTTCATATGGCTTTACTTGTAGTTATTGCTTCTCAGACACACCACCATAGCACATGCAGTTCACATTGTGTTATATAGTGTACGTTTCCATGTACCACCATTGTGTGCTGAAGAATATTGTCAATTATTCTGCATCCGAATGAACTAAATACCAACCGAAATAACTCACAAAGTAATCTTGTTTATGGCTTATTTATTTTAGGTTTTAATTGTGATATGTGATCAATACATTTTGATCTGTTGTTCTGTTAGCGTAGATTTGGTTGAAATTTGTCTTGCAGTTTATGCTTATAGTACTAACTATAGTACATGGGTAAGGTCAAGAGAGACCCTGTTTATATATCGCTTTCGGTGTACAATAATAAAATGTGCCATAAATGCTTCATTCATTCATTCATTCATTCATTCATTCATTCATTCATTCATTCATTCATTCATTCATTCATTCATTCATTCATTCATTCATTCATTCATTCATTCTGTCATTCATATATATATATATATATATATATATATATATAGAGAGAGAGAGAGATGGATAGGTAGATAGATAGATAGATAGATAGATAGATAGATAGATAGATAGATAGATAGATAGATAGATAGATAGATAGATAGATAGATAGATAGATCCTGTTGTGTCGTGTGGTGTGAACAGCTCTACTTGAACACTCATGATTTCACAGAGAGCAAGTCATGTAGTATGAGCCGCACAGTTCAGCCCGACGTTTTAAAATCATGTAGTGTGAACTAGGCTTTAACTGTTACAGTTCAGTCATCTTATAACTGTGGTCTTAAAATTCAGTCATCTTAACTGTCGTCTTGTTCTGTCATTTTAACTGTTGTCTTGTTATGTTCTTGTACCTGTCGTCTTAACTGTCGTCTTGTTCTGTTCTCTTAACTGTCGCCTTATTGTTCTGTTCTCTTAACTGTCGTCTTATTGTTCTGTCATCTTAACTCTCGTCAGGTCCGGATTAACCATTAGGGCAACTGGTCACTTGTTATAAAGGCACTCCTCACTTTTACAAAAGTATTGTCATTTTTCTATTCTGTGTAATTTAATGCTTAATACTGTTAAGCTTTATAGGCTGGGTCTATATGGATTTTACGTTGTTGAACGCAAAAGTTTTGCGAGGGAATGCAAAAGATTTGGGGAAAAAAATTCTCCCATCCTAATTTTTTTTCCACCACCACGTCCCATACGGTAACATGGCAGCCAACCACCAAAACGAATTAATTTGTACTGTGACACAAGGATTCCAAGTTCAGCAACGCTGAGACTGATGTGATAGAAAGCATATAATTTTCCAATAGTCCAGTCTAAAAGTTTTTACAACAGTATTTTTCAGTTTGATTCTGAGCTCAACAAGGAGGGGATATTCTGTGTGCTGTCATCTGTCTCTCCACGTTATTGCATTTTTGTTTGTGTCCAGTACTTTGATGCTTTTTATTTTTCTCTTAATGTGTGGACCTCTTAGTGCTTTGTGCTTTTTTACTGGTAAGTGAGGGCAGTTGATGTGGGAAGAAATGTTTTTCCTCCTGAAATCCTGAAATCTGACAGCTGTGTGGATTTGGCTCATGATGTGGAAAGAGGTCACATAAATCTCACTGTGCTGCCAAAACTTTTAAGGTCCTCCTAAAATAAGCGTAAACAGTCCCGGGGTATTTCAGAGAATGTTTATTTCATATTTTATAAGAAAAGATGAGAAAACAAACAACCCAATAAGTGACCATTTTTAGAATATTGATCCTTATACCTATAATTTGATAGCTAAACATTATCAAACTGTCCAAAGTTATGACAGAACTGTGGATGAACAACAGTCCAATGTGTTTGTGCCATTGCAAGTTATGGCATTAAGTGATGATGTGTGAGAGTAACAATGTTGTTGTGTGCTTCAGATGTGTATACTGTACACGGTATGTTTTACTTTTGTACATTTTGTTTTTCAGCTGTCTATTCCAATGCTTTTGTGGACAATGGGGAATAACTGGTTGTTACTGTATGCCCTTTTGGGTATAATGGCTTTTGGTCTATTCCCAAAACTTGAAGCTCAGGATGGTAAGTTAAGTCCAGCATTTTTGTTTGTTTGTTTGTTTGTTTGTTTGTTTGGTGTAAACTTACACCAGTTATGGGTGAAGACATGTTAATTTTACTGTGCTGCAGACAATACACAAGTAAAAATCCTAAATGTTTCCATTGATTGGAAAGAGAGCTTAAAACTAGGTGTTTTTCTTTACAAATCTTTTGTTAAGTATTCAGTTTTTTTTAGACCCCCGATCACTTGAGTTCAAATTTTGAAATCTAAAGACAGTGAAGAGAAATATCTACAGTTTCAGTAAAGGGAGTTGAGCACGTATTTAAATAACTGATTTAAATACTGTAAAGATATTCAGAGTGGTGTGCTGTAGTTTGTTTAGAGCTCCCAATGATCAAGAAGAATTCAACTGAACACTGCATTTCAAGTTTATACCACTAATCCTGAAGGGTCTCAAGAGCTACTGTCAGCATCGGGAATGACCACAGCCAGTTAATATTGACAACGGGTAATTCATGCAAAATGTTCCCAGAAATAACCCAATTAACCATTCCCCCACACTGATAACATGACTAGTTTTGTCACAGTCGCATTTTCTGCATGCTGTGACTCCTCTGTTTTTTAGTGCTTTTGTGCAATGAGGTGTGAGATAATGGATTTTAGGTGTAACAGATTTTCAAAACCACCGACATCCGTCCGACTGTCTTTCTGTCTCTCTTCATCCGTTCACTAATTTATCCATCATTTCTGTACTAAATTCTTGAAAAAATTAGATTCACTTCAAAGCTGATGCCTACATTTTTTAAAGTATGGCAAGGTGTCACTGATTTATGTCTTTGAGACTATAGAGATCATCAGCAGCTGATGATGGCTAACCACCCAGCACAGCTTATGTCTTGAGAGCTTAATGTCTGATTCTTTTGTGTGTGCTGACTGTCTTCACTGTGTAACCATATAAAAAAATACAAAATGTCTCCACAATTGATACAGTGATGAACCCACATGTTTTCATCTTTGAAATGTTTACTATGCATTTTTCACTTAATTCAAACATTAAAGACCCCATAAACATTTTAGAAGTAGTTAAATTAGTAATAGAAGTTTTGTCTAGAAGTTTTTTTTAGCCATTAATATTTTTCTTGAAAACCAGGCCTATATTGATGACTTGTCTTACTGATGCACCCTAATATTTGCTGCAACCAGTTATCAAGCAGTAGCCTAAATAATGGCTCATGTCTGTGACCTAACTAAAGATTATTCATCCTGAATATCCTGAAAAAAAAAAAAAAAAAAAAAAAAAAAAAACTTGGACTTTCAACAGGAATTATGTTATCAGAAGAAATAAAACTGTGCTCATTGAATGTTTTCATTTAGTCTTTAATAATCAAATATGTGAAAAATGCCAGTATAGTTTAAATAAGTAACAGTAAAAGTGATTTTAAAGAAGTCCAAAGATGAGACAGAAGGGTCATGACTGGTGCTGTTATCACTGAATACTGTAACATGAGTCTGCATGGTCTGACTGAACACAAGAAGATGGAAAGATTCTCCAGGCAGCCTGGAGAATCTTTCTCCATTGCCCAGGCAGCCTTTAGAGGTGCCCAAATACATATACAGAATTTTCGTAATGTATACACAATAATTCTAAATACACTAAATTAAATCCCCACAACAAAACTGTAAATTAAAACCCCAACATAATTCTACACAATTTCAGAGTATGAAAATTAGAAAGTTGCAGAGCATCTTCCTTGGTTCAGCAGACATGCAGTATAATGTGTTTGTGTTGTGTTTTTATGCTGGATTGTAATTATCCATGATTATGTTTTATGCTTGCACCCTTCCCCTGTCTCCCTCTTTCCGTTTTTTTTAACCCACACATTTTGCATTATATTTTGTTTGTTTCTCTGTCCTCTCTCCACTTCTCCTTCAAAGCCCCCGGGTCTGCCGACCTTATACTCTTAATTGACGGATCAGAGAGCGTTGGAGCTGCCAACTTCCCCTTCGTCAGTGATTTGGCTGTCCAAGTGATTGAGGGGCTTGCCGTGGGCAAGGACGCAATCCGTGTAGCCCTCGTGCTTTATGGTGCCGATCCCGAGATTCAATTCTATCTCAATAGATATGACAACAAAGAGAGTGTCCTCAGTGCTATCCGGGGGCTTAGGTACCCTGGTGGGATTGAGTCAAATCTGGGGGCCGCCTTGGAGGAGGTGGTAGACAGTCTATTGGGCCAAGATGCAGGAGGCAGGGCAGCGGAAGGGGTCCCCCAGGCACTGGTGGTAATCAGTGCTGGGGAGTCCACTGATGATGTCAGTCAGGGCGAGAGGGCCCTAAAGCAGGCCAATGTGCTCACCTTTGGTATTGCTGTGGGTGAATCTGCAACTACCCAACTGGAAGCTATTGCTACAGACAAACGCTTCGTTCTGTCCGCTCCTGATGTCAGAACAGTGGCAAGCATGGTTGACCAGATACTGCCATACATTAATGGGGTCAGCGATCGCTCCATTGTGATTCAAACAGATTTCACAGAAGGTATGTAATTACCGTATGAGAGGGATTCCATAGAGAAACTGAAGAAAGGGGGAATAATAACAGCACATTATCACGGGCGTGGTCATCTAAAGAACAACAACAAAAAATATATTAATAAAAATAATATATTTAGGTGAAAGTGCAAAGGTTTTAGTGTCCCAAAATGTATTTTTTCTTTCTTTCTTTTTTTAAACAACATATTACACATGCTGAAATGAGGCATTCAAACATTTTTTTGTTCACTGTTCTATTCAGATTTTGTGTTTTCTATTAGATAAAATATTTAGACTAAACCAGAGTAGCACATGATGCATTGATAGCACATGATACAACCCATTAACACTCCTTGTAAATGTAAATTCAGGATATTAATACATTTAGGTCATAGCATTTGTATATATTTCTATACTTTGAAATAAATGATCACTTTATGCTAATTGATTTCCATTATTTTTACCACTTATATGATTTATATATGTTAGCTTTATGGCAAGTAAAATATAATCCATTTTAAGTAAATGATGATAGCTAACTTCATAGGTTACCTAATTTTGGATTGAATTTGCAGAAGGACTGAGTAGAATTCTTTTTTTTTTTCCTTTTAGCTTTGGCTGTTGGGAAAAGAGATATAATTTTCCTCATTGACAGTAGCATGGGTGCCACCTCAATCAATGCAGTGCGAGAATTCATCAAAAGGTTTATTGACACCATGCCAATTGGACCTGATCAGGTGCAGGTCGGAGTGGCCATGTTTTCCACCACCGCAAGGTCGGAGATCAACCTCAACTCATATAGTTCAAAAGAATCGCTAAGCTCTGCTCTCGCAAGAATAAAACCCAAACCTTCTGTTGAAGTCAACATCGGGGCTGCCCTGGATTTTGTGAGAACTACCATGCTCAGACCCGAGAGTGGGAGCCGCATTCAAGATCAAGTGACACAGCTTGTGCTTCTCCTGACCAGTAAAAAATCTAAAGACAGTGTCCAACAGCCAGTTGAAGCACTTCAGCAAATGGGTGTTCTAACTTTGGCTGCAGGCTCTAAAGCAGCCGATGAGGCCGAGCTCAGGCAAATAGCTTTTGATGAAACTGGGGTTTTCATCCTGAAGGACTTCAGGGGGTTGCTGCGCAACCCCAGAGAAATTATATACTATCTCTCTACATTGACTGGTGCTGTTGTGACAGAGGGTCCAACCGAAACAGGTAATATTCTACAAACATACTCCTTTTGTTTAAATAAAAAATGCAGATTGAGTTATTAATTTAAATAATATGATTAATATAGATAAACGAAACTGTAAAAAACTATATGTAATTTTATGCACTTTTCCCATTGAAACTGTCTTATACAAATTTAGATTCTGGAACTTCATTTTAAAGGTACTTAGACATCTAAAATTGTGGTCATATAAAATCTTCTAGGCCCATTTGTGGATGTTACTACAGTCCACACCCAAAAAGTTGTCAGAGACATTGTCTTCTTAGTGGATGGATCTACCTACGTTGGATATAACTTACAACCTGTGCAGGACTTCATCACTGGCGTGGTAAACAGACTAGACGTTCGACCTGAGCGAGTGCGCATTGGATTAATGCAGTTTGCTGAGGGGCAGAAAAATGAATTTTATCTGAACACTCACAACACCAAACAGGATGTTCTCTCTGCCATTGCTCAGCTACGTTTGATGGGAGGACGTGCATTAAACACTGGTGCAGCCCTACAGTATGCCCTAGCCAACCACTTCCAGCCCTCAGCTGGGTCTCGTAGGAGACAGGGGATCCAGCAGGTACTGGTACTAATAACAGGAGGACCATCTCAAGATGAAGTCAAGAGGATTGCTGACCGTGTAGCCATAGAGGGTGTTTTGACTTTTGCTGTTGGAGCTGGCCAAGTGGAAGAGAGTTTCCTTAAAACTGTTGCTTTTGTTGAAGATTTGGCATATTACAGAAGAAACTTTGCTGATTTGTCAAGTGTTGTTGACGAGATTATGACACCATTGATCACTGTTGTTGGAGAGACTGATACAACAATAACAGGTAAGCTAAATCATGCTGACATGAATATTGTTTTAGTAAATAAATTAAGTCTTATATAATAAATAATATTAGAAAAACAATTACTTTATTATAATATAATATAAAGAACACTGTCATACACTGTCAACATATACAAATAACTTTTTGCTCCTCTCTATTTTTTAACACTTAAATTGTTTCGCTTTTGTATTCAGAAATGTACAATGTAACCTCTTGTAGATATTTAAGCATTTTATTGTATTTCATTAATATATTTTTTTTTTGTTGTTTTTTTTCACAGTAACACCAGGGCCCTCCGGGGGAGAAAGGGATGTTGCATTCTTGATCGACGGCTCTGATGATGTCCGAGGAGACTTTCCCTATATCCGCAACTTCATTTCCAAAGTAATTGAGCCTTTGGATATAGGCTTTAATAAAGTGCGAGTTTCTGTGGTCCAGCATAGCGAGAGCCCAAGTCCTAGCTTCTACCTGAACACTTACCAAACCAAAGATGAGGTGCTGAGAGCTGTAAATGGACTCACTCTGACAGGTGGCAGAAGTTTGAATACTGGTGCTGCCTTGACTTTCATGAAAAACACCATCTTGTCACCAGCATTTGGTAGTCGATCTGGTGAAAATGTTCCCCAATTTTTGATCGTTTTGACGGGGGGAAGATCAAGAGATAGTGTCAGAGAACCCGCGGTAGCCCTAAAGACTGATGGAGTTGTACCTTTTGGTGTTGGAGTGAAAAATGCAGATCCTAAACAGATTGAGGCCATCTCTCACAATCCATCATTTGCTTTCAATGTGAAGGAATTCAGCCAGCTCAACACAGTTCAGGAAAGGCTCAAGAACTATGTGAACCTTCCAGATCAAGAACTGAAGGTCTTTCTAGAGAGAGGTAAGAACATTTGAGCTTTTTATTTAGCTGTGGCCTTCTATATGCTGGTTGGTTGGTTGGTTGGTTGGAATTGGTGCAGTGTATGATTTTGTTTACAAAGTTGTTGAGAAACTTAATGTGGCGGAGAGAAAATACAGAGTATCTGTGGTTCAGTACATTGACAATCCAGTGGCTGACTTCTATCTTAAAACCTACTCAAGACGGAGGTTCTAGATGCCATTAAGGTCCTGAAACACAAAGGTGGACAAATAGCTAACACTGGTGCAGCCCTTCAATTTGTCAGGCAACAAGTTTTCAGTTCTTCTTCAGGAAGTACAGTAGATGACTTCATGGAATTCCGCAAATACTAATATTGCTAAGTAGCAGACCATGTCGTGATGAAATAATAGGACCTGCCATGGCCATGCCATGAGAAATCTTGAAATAGGGTTAGTAAGATTCATTGGTGTGAAAAATGCAGATCTAAATGAGCTGAAAACTGTATCAGTCCAGTCTAAATTCACACATTACATTGATCGATTTGATGATCTTAATTTAGTAGAGCCACACATTGTTTCAACTCTTAAGAATATCCCAAAAGTATCTGGAGAAATCCATAAAACAAGTTCTAGACTCAGCTGGTAAGAGCTTTCACTTTAAGCAATACATAACCAATTATTTGTGTTTAAGTTTAGGCATTGAGTCTGCTACAAACCTTAAATGTAAATGTCATATAAATTGCTATATGATGTTTTAGGATGTGGAACTGAAGATTATTTCTTACTTAAATCTTTCTTCTTAGGTATGTTCTCATGTCTTCCATGTCCTTATTTGACATCTTTTGCACATAAAGATGTTCATTCCATGGAAGTATTTTGAACTGTACTTGCAAGAGCTTTTTCTTATTGAACGCTGTTCACATCCTGACCCACAAAATGATTTTTGGGTGGTCGATGTCACTGATATTCTTTGATTTACTTGCATATTTTTTACTCTTGTACACTTTTAAAGCTTTTTCTATTCAATTTAAACATTGAATGATTCAGATGTATTCCAATATCCTTTTCTTTTCTTTTCTTTTCTTTTCTTGGTAACTTGCCTGATACAGGAATTAACAAACGGGATATAGTTTTTCTCCTTGATGGCTCAGATGACTCCAGAAATGGATTTCTTGCCGTCCGTGAGTTTATTAGGAGAATGGTAGAGGATCTTGCCATTGACCAGGACATTGTTCGAGTTGCTGTAATACAGTACAGTGAAGATACTACGACTCATTTCCTACTTAATAGTTACAATAGTAAGAAAGCTGTAATTTATGCTATTAATGGCCTCACAGCAAAAGGTGGAAGAAATCTAAATACTGGGGCAGCGTTACAGTATGTCAGGGACCATGTTTTCATTACGTCTTCTGGAAGTAGACATCAGCTAGGAGTCCCTCAGCTGTTGATTTTTATGACTGGTGGAGGGTCCAGTGATGATGTGGCAGGTCCTGCTGAAGATCTCAAAAACTTTGGAGTTCTGTCCATTGCCATTGGAATACAGAATGTCGTAGAGGCAGAGCTCCAAAGCATAGCATTTTCACCTAGATTTATTTTTAATCTTCCAGTTTTTGGTGAACTTTTACATATACAGCCTGATATCCTCTCCTTTATCAAATCCAAAATGGAAATAGGACCCCCTACTATCATTGGTAAGAATAACTACACTCGCCATTTTCTTAACATTCAAGCTTTTTCTTATGACTTTCTTATGAAAGTAGATGAAAATCTACTTTCTTCACTAAACTATTCGCTTTAACCCTGAGGCCATTTTTTTTTTTTTTTTGATTGATTGATTGATTCAGCTTAACATATGTTAAAGACTGGCCTTTGCCACTAAATATTTACTATTTTCCTGTTCATCTTATGCTTTGTCCATCAGAGAACTTTCATAATTTTCCACTGGTTCTCTCAACCATGGAAGAGTCTTACTTCTTGCGGAGATTCCTCTTCAGTTTAAGCTCTTGTTTGAGCCAATGATTTCTTAATCATTGTTGGTGTTTGATCAATAGCAACTCCTTGTTCTTCCCTTTTTCGGTTGCTTGATTGATCTTATTCATGTGAGTGTGAAAATACACTAGTAATATTCTCTCATAATGGATTTTTTTTTTGTTTCAGATGTTATCAGCATATTCTTAAGATAGAACAGAAATATAGCAAAGTGTATTTGGAATGTAAATTTGATTAAAATCGTTGTTCACCTTTGTCAATACCAGGGGAAATATTACTGTGATGATGTTTAGTCTTACACTTTTTATAAGAGTTAAGGCCATTTTACTAAAGCCATTTAATTTTCATCCCAGTTGAATTGGATGCAGCTCAAAGAGACATTGTCTTTATTCTGGATGGGTCTGATGACACCAGGGATGAGTTTAAACAGATGTGTCAGTTTGTTCAAAGAGTCGTGGACAAACTCAATATCGGGCTCAGTGGAGATAGAGTGTCTTTAGTCCAATACAGCAGAGAGCCACGTGTCCATTTTTACCTGAACACACATGCAACAAAGCAAGAAGTTCTCAATTCAATTGAGACACTGCAACACCAGGGAGGAAATCCCCTCAATACAGGAAGAGCCCTTGATTATACAAAAAAGAACATGTTCACTGCTTCTTCTGGGAGCAGACTCCTGGATGGGGTTCCTCAGATTCTTGTGCTTGTGACTGGAGGAAGGTCTCAAGATGATGTTAGAGCTCCAGCTGCAGCTCTGAAACTGGACCAAATTGTACCATTTAGTATTGGCAATCAAAATGCAGATGTTATTCAACTCCAGGCAATCTCGTATACTCCTGGTCATACCCTTACTGTTCCTCAGTTTGATGACCTTCAAACCATTGAGCAGAAACTTTTATCATATATAAAAATAGTTCCTCGTCAGCCTAGGAGGATTCCACCAACTGCAACAGGTAAGGATCAAATGTCTGTTTTTTTGTTGTTGTTTTTTTCATGTGGTTGATTTAAAGGTGTTATGGACTAGTGACATCTCTTCTAAGACATAACTATGTGTATATTTATGCTCCATGGTAACAGGTGCTGGAAAAAGAGATGTTGTTTTTTTAATCGATGCCTCTGATGGTACAAAGGAAGATTTCTTATTAATAAAAAACTTTGTTCAGACCCTGGTTCAGAAACTGGATGTGGCACCAAATAAAGATCGTATTTCAGTGGTCCAGTACAGTGATGATGCAGCTTTTGATTTTCTTTTGAATACACATTCATCATCAGACGATGTTATAAATCATGTGAAACGTCTAATTCATAAAGGAGGAAAGCTGCGTCTCACTGGGACAGCCTTACAGTATGTAAAGGACAACATGTTTACTGCTGCTGCAGGAAGTAGATATTTGGAGGGTGTGACACAGTTCCTAATTCTGATGAGTTCTGGAAGATCTAATGATGACATACGTGGTCCAGTCAAAGCTTTGAAAGATATCGGTGTCATTTCATTAAGTATTGGCACCACAAATGCTGATACACTTGAGTTACAAATAATATCCCATCAACCAAACTACTTTTTCATTTCTGAATTTGAGAACATTCTTGATGTTCAAGATAATATATTCGCATTAATAAAAGAGGTATCTTACCAATGGCTACCAACAATGGCTCCTCAGGTCTCTGGTAAGAGGTTTATTTAATTTCTTAATGTATCTGTGCATGTGTGTACACCAGCCACTGACAGCAGTGTTTTATCTATTATAGCACATGATAGCATGAAGAATGCCCACACACATTCTTACATAATCTAGTCCTCTATTATAGTAAATATTTTTGTCTCATTTCTTCATTACAGAATCTGCTAAAAGGGATGTTGCATTTCTTATTGATGGCTCTGACGATTCTAAAATTGGTTTTGAAGCAATTCGCAATTTTATCCAGAGGGTAGTTGAGAGTCTAAATGTGGAGGAAGATCTTGATAGGGTGGCGGTTGTTCAGTACAGTCGGGATCCCACAGCTAATTTTTATCTCAGCTCATACTCAACCAAAAAAGAGGTACTAAATTCCATACGTTCTATGAGGCACAAAAGTGGAAGGCCATTGAACACTGGAGCTGCTCTAATGTTTATTAAAGAAAATATATTTACACAATCCTCTGGAAGCAGACGTCATGAAGGTGTACCTCAGATTCTGTACTTATTTAGCGGTGGTAGATCTGGTGATGATGTCAGAATCATTTCACAGAGTTTAAGAGAAAACAACATACAAGTATTTACAATTGGCACAAGAAATGCAGATACACTTGAGTTACAGACAATGTCTTCAACTCCAGCCTATGCTTTCTCTGTTCCTGACTTTACCTCCATCAACAGTATTGTCCAAAGGGTTACCTCTGTTTTGACAAGTGATGATGAAATTCCTGAGCAATTTCCCACTCCCCAGGGTAAGAATTACAATAACTGATATCTTTTCTTGAACATGTTGTTATGTTAAATAAAGAGGAGACATACAGATGCAGACTGATGTACTGTATGTACTGGCTTCTATATCATTGTTGTTAAAATACTGTTGTCTTTCCTTGATGAAAATATTCTTCCCTTTATTAATTTTAGGCCAGGCTTTCAATGCAAGAAGAAATATTGTGTTTCTTATTGACGGATCGGATAATGCTAGTGATAGATTCACAACTATACGAGAATTTGTGGCAAGTTTGGCAGAAACATTTGATGTTGGTCAAGAAAAAGATCAAATTGCTGTTGTGCAGTTCAGTAATACTGCAGCAACAAGCTTTAATCTCAGTACATACTCATCCTCTTCTGAGGTGGCAGATGCTGTACGCAACCTCAAACCAATTGGGGGAAGGCCACAATATATTGGCCAGGCTCTACAATTTGTTGGAGACAATATTTTTAGCCCTAGAGTTGGAAGTCAGCAAATAGACAGTGTTAGTCAAAATATTGTGCTTGTGGCTGGTGGCAGATCAAGAGATTCTCCTCGTGGACCAGCTAATGCTCTAAAGAGTATGGGAGTAGCCATTTTTGCCATTGGGTCAAGGCTGACAGATCCCATTGAAATGGAAGCAATTTCTTCTCGGAAAGATTATGCCATTGCTGTTTATGATTTTCATGAATTAAAAAATGTCCGTCAAAGCCTCCTGACAAACCTTATGGGTGTAAGACAAAAAGGAGACATTGAAGTTGATGGTAAGAATTAATTGCATGTTAAAACTTGAAAGATTCATTGAAGTTCTAAGAATACATGTTGAGGCTTATATGCCTATGGTTTACAATGCTTGTCCTAGGGACCCACTGCTCTGCACATTTTGTATGTGTTCCTTATTTAGAGAGACATACAAAAAGTGCAGAGCGGTGGGTTCCCAGGACCAGGATTGAAAACCACTGTTATAGGCTGATTGATTATAGGCTGATTTTTTTTGTGTGTTGGTTGTTTGAAACCTGAATTAGATAGAAAACTACAGAACATTTTATTGATTAAAGCAAGCAAATTCTAATAAGATGAATACTTTAAAGCTGAATAATTTAAATCTTTCTAATCCTATAATTACTGTGATTCTAGGCACAGGATTTAAAAGGGATATTGCTTTTCTTGTGGATGGTTCAGACAGTACAAGAAGAGGATTTACAGAAATACGTGATTTTCTGTATAACATTATCACAAATGTTAATGTGGGAATTGATAACGATAGAATCGCAATAATTCAATACAGCAATGTGGCTGTGGCAAATTTTTATTTCAATTCATTCTTAAGAAAGGAAGATGTATTGAATGCAGTAAAAGTGCTTAGCCATAAAGGTGGAAGGCCCTTGAACACAGGATTTGCACTTCAATACGTAAAGGAAAATATCTTTATAAGCGCCTCAGGGAGCAGGCACAAAGAAGGTACCCCTCAAATATTAATTCTTTTGACGAGTGGAAAGTCCAGGGACAGCATTTCTGAAGCAGCCTTTGCTCTTAAAAAAAATGGGGTAATCATATATGGAATAGGAGGAAAGTACTCAGACTCCGATGAATTACAAACAATTTCTTCTGAAAATAATGTGCTCCCATTGGCTGACTTCAGTGAATTACCAAAAATCCAAGTACAGCTACTGGAAGCAATGAAATCTAATCCAAGTTACAACAAAAGTGAATTGATAGGTAAGTGTAATACTGCTTCCTAATGAGTCAAATTATTTGCTAACACATTATAATACAGGTGCACTAAAATGCTTAATGGATGCACAGATGATGCGTCAGAACATGAGCTCACTATTGGCCAGCATCACACTCATGACCAGCGTCGGCCAAGAGAGTCTACGTTCTGACATAGCACTGCACTATTACACTATGTAAACTCACTCTGAGTCCCACATAGAAGAAAAGGAATAGTTGAATAAAGTCGCTATCTTAGTTTTATTTCTCCACAAAACGTATTCTCGTCGCTTGATAAATTTAAGGTTAAGCCACTGTAGTCACTTGGACTATTTTAACTATGTAAAAAGCCGGCAAGTTTAAATTACAATAGAAGCCTATGGTGGAGTGAGACAGCTCTCAGATTTAATCAAAAATATCTTAATTTGAGTTCCAAATATGAACAGAATACTTACGGGGTTGGAACAACATCCGGGTGAGTAATTACTGTCAGAATTTTCATTTTTGGGTGAATTAACCGTTTAACTCAACATTATCTGTGAATTAGTAAAGAATAAATTAAATACATATTAGTATACCTGTATTGTGAAGTGTTACCAATGCTTCTTTAATATACAGAAATGTATTATTATTATTAGTATTAAGTTGAAAAAATCAGGCATTTATGTTATGATATATTTCAACAATTGAAATGAAACATTAATCAGGAACAATAATTTAATTTAAATAATGCTCTTCAAATAGATAACGTTCTCATATTGTGTACTGTAACATGAGATTAGAATTAAATTAAAGGGAATGTATTGTGCTCCCCTATCTCACTGTTCAATGTTTGTTTCATAGCTGAGAGTGATAGAAAGAGGAGAGACGTTGTCTTCCTGCTGGATGGATCGGATGCCACTAGGAATGGGTTCCCAGCAATGAAAGAATTTGTGCAAAGAATGGTGGAGAATTTGGAAGTGGCTGAGAACAGAGATCACATTTCTGTGGTCCAGTACAGCAGAGACCCAGAGGCACATTTCTATCTAAACACGTACAAGACAAAGGAAGAAATTCTTGACAGTGTCAGAGGTCTGCGGCACAAAGGAGGCAGACCCCTCTACACGGGGGCAGCGCTCCAGTATGTCATAGACAATGTCTTTGCTGCCTCCTCCGGCAGCAGGCGGTTGGAAGGTGTGCCGCAGATACTGGTTTTGCTTAGCGGGGGAAGGTCATTCGACAGTGTTGAGGCAGCAGCCTCCTCTCTGAAAGAGCTTGGCATCTTGACTTTTGGAATAGGATCGAGGGGCTCTGATAGCAGAGAACTGCAGAGAATCTCATACGACCCCAATTATGCTCTCTCCGTGTCCGACTTCAGTGAGCTTCCAAATGTCCAAGAGCAGCTGCTGGCCTCTGTCCAGGCTGTTGCAATGCCCATCACTCCAACTTCACCGACTCTCACTGGTATGTGCATGGCAGCACTTTGTGACAGCTAGCTTACAGGCCGTGCATTGTTGATTTCCCTAAGTGGTAATGAGCAGTGGGACCCTTACCCACAGCTTAGGTAGTCGTTGAGGTGGTTGAATTACTGTGACATTTTGAAGGTGTTTTGAAACTACTCTGTGTTAATGATGCTGATTTCTTTTCCTAGCTGATGACACCATACCCAGAAAGGACGTGGTGTTTTTGCTGGACGGTTCAGATGGCACTAGAAATACATTCCCAGCAATGCGTGATTTTGTGCAAAGAGTAGTGGAGCAATTCAACATAGAGGCAAAGAGAGACTGTGTTTCTGTGGTGCAGTACAGTAGAGACGCTGAGGTCAATTTCTATCTGAATACCTACGCAACAAGAGGGGAGATCCTGAACACTGTCAGAGGTCTGAGGCATAGAGGAGGGAGACCCCTCAACACGGGGGCAGCCCTCCAGTACGTGAGGGACAGTGTCTTCACCGCCTCTGCGGGGAGTAGAAAGCAAGAGGGTGTCCCTCAGATTCTCATCCTCCTCAGTGGAGGACGGTCAAGCGATAACATAGATACACCTGCCTCCGCCCTAAAAGAGAGCGGAATCTTGATTTTTGGCATCGGCACCAGAAATTCGAGCAGAGAGGTGCAGAGAATTGCCAACGACCCTACCTATGCACAGCCCGTCAATGAATTCTCTGACCTTCCCAGTGTCCAGCAGCAGTTTATCAGCTCCCTCAACAATGTGCTTGTACAAGTCAAGCCGATGGCACCTACTGTGGCGGGTAAGACAGATTATCACACGTCTCTAGAAAACAGCACACTGCGCCCTCCTTGCAAAGCGTGCCGTAGACACCATAGGGTTTATGTTAGCGATGCATGTTAGCAGAGGCGGGGGAAATTAGCCTAACAAGCAATGGGTTTGAACCCTCTGGTGTGGTAAGCAGTGTTGATTTTTAATGTGTTTGTTTATTCGATCGTTCGTCAGTTTTAGGCACAGTTTTTGTCAATTGATGAAAATATCCTTTCATTTGCAGACCTCAATTTACCGTATTCAGTAAGTTTTGGCGGTTGTACTCTGACCAAAATGAGATGCTATTTTAGCAGACAGTAATGACATTTGACTGTTAGATTGGCTGTAAACTAGCTGAAAGGATAGGAGCGATTTCTCCCTTTTTGTAGTGGCCGACTAGAGCACACACACGCCCACAGACAACATCAGATACCCAGGGCTCACGTGACTTTGTGTTCCATCCCATTATCCATAGCTGAGCGAAGGATGGCCAGGAGGGATGTGGTGTTCCTTCTGGATGGCTCAGATGGCACAAGGAGCTCTTTCCCTGCAATGCGTGACTTTGTTGAGAGGATGGTGGAGAGACTGAACGTGTCTGAGAAAAGAGACCATGTGTCTGTGGTCCAGTACAGCAGAGATCCAGAGGCCCATTTCTATCTTAACACATACTCGAGGAAGGAGGACGTGCTTGACACGCTCAGGGGTCTGAGGCACAAAGGAGGGAGACCCCTCAACACAGGGGCAGCTCTGCAGTACGTGAGGGACAATGTCTTCACTGCCTCCTCTGGAAGTAGACTTGGAGAAGGTGTGCCTCAGCTGCTGATTCTGCTGAGTGGTGGAAAGTCATTTGATAATGTTGACACACCAGCCTCATCCCTGAAAGAGCTGGGAGTGCTTATCTTTGCGATAGGGTCAAGGAGCTCAGACAGCAGGGAACTCCAGAAGATCTCCAATGAGCCTAGCTATGCACTCTCAGTGAGTGACTTTGCTGACCTTCCCAGTGTCCAACAGCAGCTTCTCACCAACATTAACATGGTCTTTGTAGAGGGAACGTCTATCACCACCACAACGATGGGTAAGAAAAAAAGCCAAACCGGCTTTCTGTAATTCCTCTCCTTTAGTTATGGTCGTAGAGAAATTTGCCATATTGTCCCTCTAGTTCTAACGAGTTGCAGACTGAAATCTAATTCCTCCTGTAGAGTATAACTTTACGGGAGGTGACGCGATAGCGAACAAACAAAAAGCATGATCGAGCCTTAAGTGTGTAATGCGTTGTGGGGTATTATTATTATTTTTTTCTCTCCTTAAAATGTCCCCCACCTGACCCACGAATTTGTCTGTTTTTAGCTGAGGGCCGTAGACAGAGGAGAGACGTTGTCTTCCTGCTGGATGGATCGGATGCCACTAGGAATGGGTTCCCAGCAATGAAAGAATTTGTGCAAAGAATGGTGGAGAATTTGGAAGTGGCTGAGAACAGAGATCACATTTCTGTGGTCCAGTACAGCAGAGACCCAGAGGCACATTTCTATCTAAACACGTACAAGACAAAGGAAGAAATTCTTGACAGTGTCAGAGGTCTGCGGCACAAAGGAGGCAGACCCCTCTACACGGGGGCAGCGCTCCAGTATGTCATAGACAATGTCTTTGCTGCCTCCTCCGGCAGCAGGCGGTTGGAAGGTGTGCCGCAGATACTGGTTTTGCTTAGCGGGGGAAGGTCATTTGACAGTGTTGAGGCAGCAGCCTCCTCTCTGAAAGAGCTTGGCATCTTGACTTTTGGAATAGGATCGAGGGGCTCTGATAGCAGAGAATTGCAGAGAATTTCATACGACCCCAATTATGCTCTGTCTGTGTCCGACTTCAGCGAGCTTCCAAATGTTCAAGAGCAGCTGCTTGCCTCTGTCAAGGCTGTTTCAATTCCCATCACTCCAACTTCACAGACTGTTACCGGTATGTGCGTTGCAGTACTTAACAATACCCTGTGTCTTGTTTTATCTTCATGAAGTCCCTTACTTTTTTTTTTAAACCATAGCTTAGAGAGTTAATGAGGTGATGAACTGATGTGTCATTCTAAATGTTTGTGAACTTTATGCACATTACTTGGTGTCATTGATGATGTTTTTCTCCCTCTTAGCTGATTACGTCACACCCAGAAAGGACATAGTCTTTCTGCTGGACGGTTCAGATGGCACTAGGAATTCTTTCCCAGCTATGCGTGATTTCGTGCAGAGAGTAGTGGAGCAACACACCATAGAGGCAAACAGAGACCGTGTTTCTGTGGTCCAGTACAGTAGAGAAGCCGAGGTCCATTTCTATCTAAATAGCTACACGACAAAGGAAGAGGTTCTTGACCGTGTCAGAGGTCTGAGACACAAAGGAGGTAGACCCCTCTACACAGGGGCAGCTCTCCAGTACGTCAGAGACAATGTATTTACTGCCCCCTCCGGCAGCAGACGGTTGGAGGGTGTGCCGCAGATACTGATCTTGCTTAGCGGGGGAAGGTCATTCGACAGTGTTGAGGCAGCAGCGTCCTCTCTGAAAGAGCTTGGCGTCTTGACCTTTGGAATTGGATCGCGGGGCTCTGATAGCAGAGAACTGCAGAGAATCTCATACGACCCCAATTATGCTCTCTCCGTGTCCGACTTCAGTGAGCTTCCAAATGTCCAAGAGCAGCTGCTGGCCTCTGTCCAGGCTGTTGCAATGCCCATCACTCCAACTTCACCGACTCTCACTGGTATGTGCATGGCAGCACTTTGTGACAGCTAGCTTACAGGCCGTGCATTGTTGATTTCCCTAAGTGGTAATGAGCAGTGGGACCCTTACCCACAGCTTAGGTAGTCGTTGAGGTGGTTGAATTAATGTGACATTTTGAAGGTGTTTTGAAACTACTCTGTGTTAATGATGCTGATTTCTTTTCCTAGCTGATGACACCATACCCAGAAAGGACGTGGTGTTTTTGCTGGACGGTTCAGATGGCACTAGAAATACATTCCCAGCAATGCGTGATTTTGTGCAAAGAGTAGTGGAGCAATTCAACATAGAGGCAAAGAGAGACCGTGTTTCTGTGGTGCAGTACAGTAGAGACGCTGAGGTCAATTTCTATCTGAATACCTACGCAACAAGAGGGGAGATCCTGAACACTGTCAGAGGTCTGAGGCATAGAGGAGGGAGACCCCTCAACACGGGGGCAGCCCTCCAGTACGTGAGGGACAGTGTCTTCACCGCCTCTGCGGGGAGTAGAAAGCAAGAGGGTGTCCCTCAGATTCTCATCCTCCTCAGTGGAGGACGGTCAAGCGATAACATAGATACACCTGCCTCCGCCCTAAAAGAGAGCGGAATCTTGATTTTTGGCATCGGCACCAGAAATTCGAGCAGAGAGGTGCAGAGAATTGCCAACGACCCTACCTATGCACAGCCCGTCAATGAATTCTCTGACCTTCCCAGTGTCCAGCAGCAGTTTATCAGCTCCCTCAACAATGTGCTTGTACAAGTCAAGCCGATGGCACCTACTGTGGCGGGTAAGACAGATTATCACACGTCTCTAGAAAACAGCACACTGCGCCCTCCTTGCAAAGCGTGCCGTAGACACCATAGGGTTTATGTTAGCGATGCATGTTAGCAGAGGCGGGGGAAATTAGCCTAACAAGCAATGGGTTTGAACCCTCTGGTGTGGTAAGCAGTGTTGATTTTTAATGTGTTTGTTTATTCGATCGTTCGTCAGTTTTAGGCACAGTTTTTGTCAATTGATGAAAATATCCTTTCATTTGCAGACCTCAATTTACCGTATTCAGTAAGTTTTGGCGGTTGTACTCTGACCAAAATGAGATGCTATTTTAGCAGACAGTAATGACATTTGACTGTTAGATTGGCTGTAAACTAGCTGAAAGGATAGGAGCGATTTCTCCCTTTTTGTAGTGGCCGACTAGAGCACACACACGCCCACAGACAACATCAGATACCCAGGGCTCACGTGACTTTGTGTTCCATCCCATTATCCATAGCTGAGCGAAGGATGGCCAGGAGGGATGTGGTGTTCCTTCTGGATGGCTCAGATGGCACAAGGAGCTCTTTCCCTGCAATGCGTGACTTTGTTGAGAGGATGGTGGAGAGACTGAACGTGTCTGAGAAAAGAGACCATGTGTCTGTGGTCCAGTACAGCAGAGATCCAGAGGCCCATTTCTATCTTAACACATACTCGAGGAAGGAGGACGTGCTTGACACGCTCAGGGGTCTGAGGCACAAAGGAGGGAGACCCCTCAACACAGGGGCAGCTCTGCAGTACGTGAGGGACAATGTCTTCACTGCCTCCTCTGGAAGTAGACTTGGAGAAGGTGTGCCTCAGCTGCTGATTCTGCTGAGTGGTGGAAAGTCATTTGATAATGTTGACACACCAGCCTCATCCCTGAAAGAGCTGGGAGTGCTTATCTTTGCGATAGGGTCAAGGAGCTCAGACAGCAGGGAACTCCAGAAGATCTCCAATGAGCCTAGCTATGCACTCTCAGTGAGTGACTTTGCTGACCTTCCCAGTGTCCAACAGCAGCTTCTCACCAACATTAACATGGTCTTTGTAGAGGGAACGTCTATCACCACCACAACGATGGGTAAGAAAAAAAGCCAAACCGGCTTTCTGTAATTCCTCTCCTTTAGTTATGGTCGTAGAGAAATTTGCCATATTGTCCCTCTAGTTCTAACGAGTTGCAGACTGAAATCTAATTCCTCCTGTAGAGTATAACTTTACGGGAGGTGACGCGATAGCGAACAAACAAAAAGCATGATCGAGCCTTAAGTGTGTAATGCGTTGTGGGGTATTATTATTATTTTTTTCTCTCCTTAAAATGTCCCCCACCTGACCCACGAATTTGTCTGTTTTTAGCTGAGGGCCGTAGACAGAGGAGAGACGTTGTCTTCCTGCTGGATGGATCGGATGCCACTAGGAATGGGTTCCCAGCAATGAAAGAATTTGTGCAAAGAATGGTGGAGAATTTGGAAGTGGCTGAGAACAGAGATCACATTTCTGTGGTCCAGTACAGCAGAGACCCAGAGGCACATTTCTATCTAAACACGTACAAGACAAAGGAAGAAATTCTTGACAGTGTCAGAGGTCTGCGGCACAAAGGAGGCAGACCCCTCTACACGGGGGCAGCGCTCCAGTATGTCATAGACAATGTCTTTGCTGCCTCCTCCGGCAGCAGGCGGTTGGAAGGTGTGCCGCAGATACTGGTTTTGCTTAGCGGGGGAAGGTCATTTGACAGTGTTGAGGCAGCAGCCTCCTCTCTGAAAGAGCTTGGCATCTTGACTTTTGGAATAGGATCGAGGGGCTCTGATAGCAGAGAATTGCAGAGAATTTCATACGACCCCAATTATGCTCTGTCTGTGTCCGACTTCAGCGAGCTTCCAAATGTTCAAGAGCAGCTGCTTGCCTCTGTCAAGGCTGTTTCAATTCCCATCACTCCAACTTCACAGACTGTTACCGGTATGTGCGTTGCAGTACTTAACAATACCCTGTGTCTTGTTTTATCTTCATGAAGTCCCTTACTTTTTTTTTTAAACCATAGCTTAGAGAGTTAATGAGGTGATGAACTGATGTGTCATTCTGAATGTTTGTGAACTTTATGCACATTACTTGGTGTCATTGATGATGTTTTTCTCCCTCTTAGCTGATTACGTCACACCCAGAAAGGACATAGTCTTTCTGCTGGACGGTTCAGATGGCACTAGGAATTCTTTCCCAGCTATGCGTGATTTCGTGCAGAGAGTAGTGGAGCAACACACCATAGAGGCAAACAGAGACCGTGTTTCTGTGGTCCAGTACAGTAGAGAAGCCGAGGTCCATTTCTATCTAAATAGCTACACGACAAAGGAAGAGGTTCTTGACCGTGTCAGAGGTCTGAGACACAAAGGAGGTAGACCCCTCTACACAGGGGCAGCTCTCCAGTACGTCAGAGACAATGTATTTACTGCCCCCTCCGGCAGCAGACGGTTGGAGGGTGTGCCGCAGATACTGATCTTGCTTAGCGGGGGAAGGTCATTCGACAGTGTTGAGGCAGCAGCGTCCTCTCTGAAAGAGCTTGGCGTCTTGACCTTTGGAATTGGATCGCGGGGCTCTGATAGCAGAGAACTGCAGAGAATCTCATACGACCCCAATTATGCTCTCTCCGTGTCCGACTTCAGTGAGCTTCCAAATGTCCAAGAGCAGCTGCTGGCCTCTGTCCAGGCTGTTGCAATGCCCATCACTCCAACTTCACCGACTCTCACTGGTATGTGCATGGCAGCACTTTGTGACAGCTAGCTTACAGGCCGTGCATTGTTGATTTCCCTAAGTGGTAATGAGCAGTGGGACCCTTACCCACAGCTTAGGTAGTCGTTGAGGTGGTTGAATTAATGTGACATTTTGAAGGTGTTTTGAAACTACTCTGTGTTAATGATGCTGATTTCTTTTCCTAGCTGATGACACCATACCCAGAAAGGACGTGGTGTTTTTGCTGGACGGTTCAGATGGCACTAGAAATACATTCCCAGCAATGCGTGATTTTGTGCAAAGAGTAGTGGAGCAATTCAACATAGAGGCAAAGAGAGACCGTGTTTCTGTGGTGCAGTACAGTAGAGACGCTGAGGTCAATTTCTATCTGAATACCTACGCAACAAGAGGGGAGATCCTGAACACTGTCAGAGGTCTGAGGCATAGAGGAGGGAGACCCCTCAACACGGGGGCAGCCCTCCAGTACGTGAGGGACAGTGTCTTCACCGCCTCTGCGGGGAGTAGAAAGCAAGAGGGTGTCCCTCAGATTCTCATCCTCCTCAGTGGAGGACGGTCAAGCGATAACATAGATACACCTGCCTCCGCCCTAAAAGAGAGCGGAATCTTGATTTTTGGCATCGGCACCAGAAATTCGAGCAGAGAGGTGCAGAGAATTGCCAACGACCCTACCTATGCACAGCCCGTCAATGAATTCTCTGACCTTCCCAGTGTCCAGCAGCAGTTTATCAGCTCCCTCAACAATGTGCTTGTACAAGTCAAGCCGATGGCACCTACTGTGGCGGGTAAGACAGATTATCACACGTCTCTAGAAAACAGCACACTGCGCCCTCCTTGCAAAGCGTGCCGTAGACACCATAGGGTTTATGTTAGCGATGCATGTTAGCAGAGGCGGGGGAAATTAGCCTAACAAGCAATGGGTTTGAACCCTCTGGTGTGGTAAGCAGTGTTGATTTTTAATGTGTTTGTTTATTCGATCGTTCGTCAGTTTTAGGCACAGTTTTTGTCAATTGATGAAAATATCCTTTCATTTGCAGACCTCAATTTACCGTATTCAGTAAGTTTTGGCGGTTGTACTCTGACCAAAATGAGATGCTATTTTAGCAGACAGTAATGACATTTGACTGTTAGATTGGCTGTAAACTAGCTGAAAGGATAGGAGCGATTTCTCCCTTTTTGTAGTGGCCGACTAGAGCACACACACGCCCACAGACAACATCAGATACCCAGGGCTCACGTGACTTTGTGTTCCATCCCATTATCCATAGCTGAGCGAAGGATGGCCAGGAGGGATGTGGTGTTCCTTCTGGATGGCTCAGATGGCACAAGGAGCTCTTTCCCTGCAATGCGTGACTTTGTTGAGAGGATGGTGGAGAGACTGAACGTGTCTGAGAAAAGAGACCATGTGTCTGTGGTCCAGTACAGCAGAGATCCAGAGGCCCATTTCTATCTTAACACATACTCGAGGAAGGAGGACGTGCTTGACACGCTCAGGGGTCTGAGGCACAAAGGAGGGAGACCCCTCAACACAGGGGCAGCTCTGCAGTACGTGAGGGACAATGTCTTCACTGCCTCCTCTGGAAGTAGACTTGGAGAAGGTGTGCCTCAGCTGCTGATTCTGCTGAGTGGTGGAAAGTCATTTGATAATGTTGACACACCAGCCTCATCCCTGAAAGAGCTGGGAGTGCTTATCTTTGCGATAGGGTCAAGGAGCTCAGACAGCAGGGAACTCCAGAAGATCTCCAATGAGCCTAGCTATGCACTCTCAGTGAGTGACTTTGCTGACCTTCCCAGTGTCCAACAGCAGCTTCTCACCAACATTAACATGGTCTTTGTAGAGGGAACGTCTATCACCACCACAACGATGGGTAAGAAAAAAAGCCAAACCGGCTTTCTGTAATTCCTCTCCTTTAGTTATGGTCGTAGAGAAATTTGCCATATTGTCCCTCTAGTTCTAACGAGTTGCAGACTGAAATCTAATTCCTCCTGTAGAGTATAACTTTACGGGAGGTGACGCGATAGCGAACAAACAAAAAGCATGATCGAGCCTTAAGTGTGTAATGCGTTGTGGGGTATTATTATTATTTTTTTCTCTCCTTAAAATGTCCCCCACCTGACCCACGAATTTGTCTGTTTTTAGCTGAGGGCCGTAGACAGAGGAGAGACGTTGTCTTCCTGCTGGATGGATCGGATGCCACTAGGAATGGGTTCCCAGCAATGAAAGAATTTGTGCAAAGAATGGTGGAGAATTTGGAAGTGGCTGAGAACAGAGATCACATTTCTGTGGTCCAGTACAGCAGAGACCCAGAGGCACATTTCTATCTAAACACGTACAAGACAAAGGAAGAAATTCTTGACAGTGTCAGAGGTCTGCGGCACAAAGGAGGCAGACCCCTCTACACGGGGGCAGCGCTCCAGTATGTCATAGACAATGTCTTTGCTGCCTCCTCCGGCAGCAGGCGGTTGGAAGGTGTGCCGCAGATACTGGTTTTGCTTAGCGGGGGAAGGTCATTTGACAGTGTTGAGGCAGCAGCCTCCTCTCTGAAAGAGCTTGGCATCTTGACTTTTGGAATAGGATCGAGGGGCTCTGATAGCAGAGAATTGCAGAGAATTTCATACGACCCCAATTATGCTCTGTCTGTGTCCGACTTCAGCGAGCTTCCAAATGTTCAAGAGCAGCTGCTTGCCTCTGTCAAGGCTGTTTCAATTCCCATCACTCCAACTTCACAGACTGTTACCGGTATGTGCGTTGCAGTACTTAACAATACCCTGTGTCTTGTTTTATCTTCATGAAGTCCCTTACTTTTTTTTTTTTTAAACCATAGCTTAGAGAGTTAATGAGGTGATGAACTGATGTGTCATTCTGAATGTTTGTGAACTTTATGCACATTACTTGGTGTCATTGATGATGTTTTTCTCCCTCTTAGCTGATTACGTCACACCCAGAAAGGACATAGTCTTTCTGCTGGACGGTTCAGATGGCACTAGGAATTCTTTCCCAGCTATGCGTGATTTCGTGCAGAGAGTAGTGGAGCAACACACCATAGAGGCAAACAGAGACCGTGTTTCTGTGGTCCAGTACAGTAGAGAAGCCGAGGTCCATTTCTATCTAAATAGCTACACGACAAAGGAAGAGGTTCTTGACCGTGTCAGAGGTCTGAGACACAAAGGAGGTAGACCCCTCTACACAGGGGCAGCTCTCCAGTACGTCAGAGACAATGTATTTACTGCCCCCTCCGGCAGCAGACGGTTGGAGGGTGTGCCGCAGATACTGATCTTGCTTAGCGGGGGAAGGTCATTCGACAGTGTTGAGGCAGCAGCGTCCTCTCTGAAAGAGCTTGGCGTCTTGACCTTTGGAATTGGATCGCGGGGCTCTGATAGCAGAGAACTGCAGAGAATCTCATACGACCCCAATTATGCTCTCTCCGTGTCCGACTTCAGTGAGCTTCCAAATGTCCAAGAGCAGCTGCTGGCCTCTGTCCAGGCTGTTGCAATGCCCATCACTCCAACTTCACCGACTCTCACTGGTATGTGCATGGCAGCACTTTGTGACAGCTAGCTTACAGGCCGTGCATTGTTGATTTCCCTAAGTGGTAATGAGCAGTGGGACCCTTACCCACAGCTTAGGTAGTCGTTGAGGTGGTTGAATTAATGTGACATTTTGAAGGTGTTTTGAAACTACTCTGTGTTAATGATGCTGATTTCTTTTCCTAGCTGATGACACCATACCCAGAAAGGACGTGGTGTTTTTGCTGGACGGTTCAGATGGCACTAGAAATACATTCCCAGCAATGCGTGATTTTGTGCAAAGAGTAGTGGAGCAATTCAACATAGAGGCAAAGAGAGACCGTGTTTCTGTGGTGCAGTACAGTAGAGACGCTGAGGTCAATTTCTATCTGAATACCTACGCAACAAGAGGGGAGATCCTGAACACTGTCAGAGGTCTGAGGCATAGAGGAGGGAGACCCCTCAACACGGGGGCAGCCCTCCAGTACGTGAGGGACAGTGTCTTCACCGCCTCTGCGGGGAGTAGAAAGCAAGAGGGTGTCCCTCAGATTCTCATCCTCCTCAGTGGAGGACGGTCAAGCGATAACATAGATACACCTGCCTCCGCCCTAAAAGAGAGCGGAATCTTGATTTTTGGCATCGGCACCAGAAATTCGAGCAGAGAGGTGCAGAGAATTGCCAACGACCCTACCTATGCACAGCCCGTCAATGAATTCTCTGACCTTCCCAGTGTCCAGCAGCAGTTTATCAGCTCCCTCAACAATGTGCTTGTACAAGTCAAGCCGATGGCACCTACTGTGGCGGGTAAGACAGATTATCACACGTCTCTAGAAAACAGCACACTGCGCCCTCCTTGCAAAGCGTGCCGTAGACACCATAGGGTTTATGTTAGCGATGCATGTTAGCAGAGGCGGGGGAAATTAGCCTAACAAGCAATGGGTTTGAACCCTCTGGTGTGGTAAGCAGTGTTGATTTTTAATGTGTTTGTTTATTCGATCGTTCGTCAGTTTTAGGCACAGTTTTTGTCAATTGATGAAAATATCCTTTCATTTGCAGACCTCAATTTACCGTATTCAGTAAGTTTTGGCGGTTGTACTCTGACCAAAATGAGATGCTATTTTAGCAGACAGTAATGACATTTGACTGTTAGATTGGCTGTAAACTAGCTGAAAGGATAGGAGCGATTTCTCCCTTTTTGTAGTGGCCGACTAGAGCACACACACGCCCACAGACAACATCAGATACCCAGGGCTCACGTGACTTTGTGTTCCATCCCATTATCCATAGCTGAGCGAAGGATGGCCAGGAGGGATGTGGTGTTCCTTCTGGATGGCTCAGATGGCACAAGGAGCTCTTTCCCTGCAATGCGTGACTTTGTTGAGAGGATGGTGGAGAGACTGAACGTGTCTGAGAAAAGAGACCATGTGTCTGTGGTCCAGTACAGCAGAGATCCAGAGGCCCATTTCTATCTTAACACATACTCGAGGAAGGAGGACGTGCTTGACACGCTCAGGGGTCTGAGGCACAAAGGAGGGAGACCCCTCAACACAGGGGCAGCTCTGCAGTACGTGAGGGACAATGTCTTCACTGCCTCCTCTGGAAGTAGACTTGGAGAAGGTGTGCCTCAGCTGCTGATTCTGCTGAGTGGTGGAAAGTCATTTGATAATGTTGACACACCAGCCTCATCCCTGAAAGAGCTGGGAGTGCTTATCTTTGCGATAGGGTCAAGGAGCTCAGACAGCAGGGAACTCCAGAAGATCTCCAATGAGCCTAGCTATGCACTCTCAGTGAGTGACTTTGCTGACCTTCCCAGTGTCCAACAGCAGCTTCTCACCAACATTAACATGGTCTTTGTAGAGGGAACGTCTATCACCACCACAACGATGGGTAAGAAAAAAAGCCAAACCGGCTTTCTGTAATTCCTCTCCTTTAGTTATGGTCGTAGAGAAATTTGCCATATTGTCCCTCTAGTTCTAACGAGTTGCAGACTGAAATCTAATTCCTCCTGTAGAGTATAACTTTACGGGAGGTGACGCGATAGCGAACAAACAAAAAGCATGATCGAGCCTTAAGTGTGTAATGCGTTGTGGGGTATTATTATTATTTTTTTCTCTCCTTAAAATGTCCCCCACCTGACCCACGAATTTGTCTGTTTTTAGCTGAGGGCCGTAGACAGAGGAGAGACGTTGTCTTCCTGCTGGATGGATCGGATGCCACTAGGAATGGGTTCCCAGCAATGAAAGAATTTGTGCAAAGAATGGTGGAGAATTTGGAAGTGGCTGAGAACAGAGATCACATTTCTGTGGTCCAGTACAGCAGAGACCCAGAGGCACATTTCTATCTAAACACGTACAAGACAAAGGAAGAAATTCTTGACAGTGTCAGAGGTCTGCGGCACAAAGGAGGCAGACCCCTCTACACGGGGGCAGCGCTCCAGTATGTCATAGACAATGTCTTTGCTGCCTCCTCCGGCAGCAGGCGGTTGGAAGGTGTGCCGCAGATACTGGTTTTGCTTAGCGGGGGAAGGTCATTTGACAGTGTTGAGGCAGCAGCCTCCTCTCTGAAAGAGCTTGGCATCTTGACTTTTGGAATAGGATCGAGGGGCTCTGATAGCAGAGAATTGCAGAGAATTTCATACGACCCCAATTATGCTCTGTCTGTGTCCGACTTCAGCGAGCTTCCAAATGTTCAAGAGCAGCTGCTTGCCTCTGTCAAGGCTGTTTCAATTCCCATCACTCCAACTTCACAGACTGTTACCGGTATGTGCGTTGCAGTACTTAACAATACCCTGTGTCTTGTTTTATCTTCATGAAGTCCCTTACTTTTTTTTTTTTTAAACCATAGCTTAGAGAGTTAATGAGGTGATGAACTGATGTGTCATTCTGAATGTTTGTGAACTTTATGCACATTACTTGGTGTCATTGATGATGTTTTTCTCCCTCTTAGCTGATTACGTCACACCCAGAAAGGACATAGTCTTTCTGCTGGACGGTTCAGATGGCACTAGGAATTCTTTCCCAGCTATGCGTGATTTCGTGCAGAGAGTAGTGGAGCAACACACCATAGAGGCAAACAGAGACCGTGTTTCTGTGGTCCAGTACAGTAGAGAAGCCGAGGTCCATTTCTATCTAAATAGCTACACGACAAAGGAAGAGGTTCTTGACCGTGTCAGAGGTCTGAGACACAAAGGAGGTAGACCCCTCTACACAGGGGCAGCTCTCCAGTACGTCAGAGACAATGTATTTACTGCCCCCTCCGGCAGCAGACGGTTGGAGGGTGTGCCGCAGATACTGATCTTGCTTAGCGGGGGAAGGTCATTCGACAGTGTTGAGGCAGCAGCGTCCTCTCTGAAAGAGCTTGGCGTCTTGACCTTTGGAATTGGATCGCGGGGCTCTGATAGCAGAGAACTGCAGAGAATCTCATACGACCCCAATTATGCTCTCTCCGTGTCCGACTTCAGTGAGCTTCCAAATGTCCAAGAGCAGCTGCTGGCCTCTGTCCAGGCTGTTGCAATGCCCATCACTCCAACTTCACCGACTCTCACTGGTATGTGCATGGCAGCACTTTGTGACAGCTAGCTTACAGGCCGTGCATTGTTGATTTCCCTAAGTGGTAATGAGCAGTGGGACCCTTACCCACAGCTTAGGTAGTCGTTGAGGTGGTTGAATTAATGTGACATTTTGAAGGTGTTTTGAAACTACTCTGTGTTAATGATGCTGATTTCTTTTCCTAGCTGATGACACCATACCCAGAAAGGACGTGGTGTTTTTGCTGGACGGTTCAGATGGCACTAGAAATACATTCCCAGCAATGCGTGATTTTGTGCAAAGAGTAGTGGAGCAATTCAACATAGAGGCAAAGAGAGACCGTGTTTCTGTGGTCAGTACAGTAGAGACGCTGAGGTCAATTTCTATCTGAATACCTACGCAACAAGAGGGGAGATCCTGAACACTGTCAGAGGTCTGAGGCATAGAGGAGGGAGACCCCTCAACACGGGGGCAGCCCTCCAGTACGTGAGGGACAGTGTCTTCACCGCCTCTGCGGGGAGTAGAAAGCAAGAGGGTGTCCCTCAGATTCTCATCCTCCTCAGTGGAGGACGGTCAAGCGATAACATAGATACACCTGCCTCCGCCCTAAAAGAGAGCGGAATCTTGATTTTTGGCATCGGCACCAGAAATTCGAGCAGAGAGGTGCAGAGAATTGCCAACGACCCTACCTATGCACAGCCCGTCAATGAATTCTCTGACCTTCCCAGTGTCCAGCAGCAGTTTATCAGCTCCCTCAACAATGTGCTTGTACAAGTCAAGCCGATGGCACCTACTGTGGCGGGTAAGACAGATTATCACACGTCTCTAGAAAACAGCACACTGCGCCCTCCTTGCAAAGCGTGCCGTAGACACCATAGGGTTTATGTTAGCGATGCATGTTAGCAGAGGCGGGGGAAATTAGCCTAACAAGCAATGGGTTTGAACCCTCTGGTGTGGTAAGCAGTGTTGATTTTTAATGTGTTTGTTTATTCGATCGTTCGTCAGTTTTAGGCACAGTTTTTGTCAATTGATGAAAATATCCTTTCATTTGCAGACCTCAATTTACCGTATTCAGTAAGTTTTGGCGGTTGTACTCTGACCAAAATGAGATGCTATTTTAGCAGACAGTAATGACATTTGACTGTTAGATTGGCTGTAAACTAGCTGAAAGGATAGGAGCGATTTCTCCCTTTTTGTAGTGGCCGACTAGAGCACACACACGCCCACAGACAACATCAGATACCCAGGGCTCACGTGACTTTGTGTTCCATCCCATTATCCATAGCTGAGCGAAGGATGGCCAGGAGGGATGTGGTGTTCCTTCTGGATGGCTCAGATGGCACAAGGGGCTCTTTTCCTGCAATGCGTGACTTTGTTGAGAGGATGGTGGAGAGACTGAACGTGTCTGAGAAAAGAGACCATGTGTCTGTGGTCCAGTACAGCAGAGATCCAGAGGCCCATTTCTATCTTAACACATACTCGAGGAAGGAGGACGTGCTTGACACGCTCAGGGGTCTGAGGCACAAAGGAGGGAGACCCCTCAACACAGGGGCAGCTCTGCAGTACGTGAGGGACAATGTCTTCACTGCCTCCTCTGGAAGCAGACTTGTAGAAGGTGTGCCTCAGCTGCTGATTCTGCTGAGTGGTGGAAAGTCATTTGATAATGTTGACACACCAGCCTCATCCCTGCAAGAGCTGGGCGTGCTTATCTTTGCGATAGGGTCAAGGAGCTCAGACAGCAGGGAACTCCAGAAGATTTCCAATGAGCCTAGTTATGCACTTGCAGTGAGTGACTTTTCTGACCTTCCAAGTGTCCAACAGCAGCTTCTCACCAACATTAATACAGTACTTTTAGAGGGCTTGTCCATCACTACTACTGAAATAGGTAAGAAAAAGATTACCTAAATAAACGGATAAAACGTGCTTGCTTTATTTATTTTCAATGTTTATGGTACTTGCTAAGGTTAGTATCACTAAAAATATGTAGACTTCTTTTCTTAAATTATCCTTTACCATTTTGCTTAAAACACCAACGTTGCCTAAAGGTTGGTGGCTTGTTGTGGAGAGATTGATTTTGGTTCAAGAAAATTTACTATCTTTTATTTTTGTTGAGACCCACATCATAGGGATCATGATGTCAGAAATACTTTGGTATGGGTATTTTACTTTTTATTCAGTAAGAAGCATCAAACATCCACCTTGCAGCACATTGACAACCACACAGCACAACTTAGTGAAAGTGTCACTTAAGTAGTTTACTTTAAAAATCCTTTAGAACATCAAACATCATCATAGGAGTTAGCATCTTAGCATAGAGAGTTTCATGGCAAATTTAACATGTATTTCTTTATTCATGTCCTTTAGTCCTTTTGCGCATTGTGAACTTTGTGTAATTTTTCCCAAGACATTACTGTCTTTAGAGATTAATTATATTCAAAATTGTTTATTAAATGTGGTATACTAATTCATTCATGTTTGCATCCTCCATCATCTTTATTGTGGTGTCAGATTGTTTTATTGTTATTTTTACATTTACATCAAAAGTGGCTTGTGAGTAAGTAATGTTCTATTTAACATGTGTGTCTTTCCCATTAAAAAACATAGATATAATTTTTATTAAAGAATTATTGCAAGCGTTTCTATAACAACACTATAATTGTAATGGCTGCATATTTAAGTGAACATTTCATTTCCAAACAATTTAACACACCACAGTAATACATATTCACCTTCTAATGTTCAGTTCCAAAATATTAGTTTCTTCTTCTTCTTCTTCTTCTTCTTCTTCTGCTTCTGCTTCTTCTCCTTTTTTCTTAAATACTCTCTTATTATATTCACAAATTCATTTTAACAATTTCAGTTATGAAAATTCAGTTGAAAATTACGCTTAGCACATCTGGTATTCCCAGGTAAAGAAACAAACAAACTTCACTTGCTGACATGATGTCTTACGAATAGATGTTGGATTCAAGTGCAAATTTGTTATGTTTAATAATCTAGTGCAAAGGGTGTCGAGTGTTGTAATTATATTCATATCTTTGTTTTTGTCAGGTGTTTGAAATTTTAGAGACTGTCCTTCATCCAATCAGCATTATTTTTTATTAAATATTTTTCTTCTTTCTTTTAATTTTAGTGGAGTCAGAGGGACCCAAAAAGGACATCGTCTTTTTGATTGATGGCTCTGAAGGTGTTGGCAGAGATTTCCCAATTATCCAGGAGTTTTTGCGCAGAGTTGTGGAGAATCTCAATGTTGGTGAGAACAAGATTCGAGTTGGCGTGGTGCAGTATGGAGATTCTCCATATGCAGACATATACCTCAACTCACATAGGACCAAAGAAGGTGTCCTAAATCAGATCAAGGAACTCCAACAACGTGGGGGGAGACAGCGCAACCTTGGTCAGGCCATTGATTTTGTTCGACGTGAAGTTTTGGTTTCTGGACTTGGTGGAAGGAAACAGGAGGGAGTTCCACAATTTGTTGTTGTGGTTTCAGGAGGAAAAGCAACAGACAATATAAGACCATCTGCAACTGCACTGAAACAGTCAGGCACTTTCCCCCTTAGCATAGGAACAAGAGACGTGAGCCCTCAGGAATTGCAAGTGACCTCCTATGTCCCCAGATTTGCCTACACAGTTGATGACTTGCCTGGACTTTATACAGTTCAGGACAAACTCATCACCACCCTGACTGAGCTATCTAGTGAGGAATTAGCCAATTTGCGCCCTGTATACCCTACAGGTAATTGCAATCATTTCATAATTGGTTTTCCTGCTTGATGTGATAATACCTCTGACCAGCATGAATTTCCATGCCTCATCCTGTTTTTTTTATAGTTAACTGTGAAGAGGGGAAGAACATCTTCAGAGTGGCAAAATTGATAAAGTCCAGAAGTCAAAATTTTAGACTATTTAAATATACATGAAATTCAGTATAACTATGAGTTGAGTTCTACTCGATTTAGTATCGCATCTGTGCAACTGTGTGTGAATCCTGTGGTCAGACTGTCAGTTCCATTTCTGTATTAATTGAGATCAATTTACTATTGTTATGGCTATGGTTACTGTCATATTTATTTTTATGTTAAAAAAAACTGCTAAAGACATTTTTGTTTGTTTCGAAACATGCAGATGCTACAATTCCAGTACCTCCTGGAGATAAGAGGGATGTTGTTTTCCTTATTGATGGCACAACAAAGATGCGCACTGAGTTCCCTGCCATAAGAGACATGGTTCAGCGAGTGGTGGAGAAGTTGGATGTGGGTCTCGACAATGTCAGGGTCTCAGTTGTGCAGTACAGTGATGATTCCAAAAGCGAATTTCTCCTCAATGAGTACTCCACCAAGGATGAAGTTCGTCAAGCAATACGAAGACTAAGAAGCAAAGGTGGCAATCAGCTTAACACTGGTCAAGCTCTGGAATTTGTATCAAAGAACATCTATCAAAGATCTGCCGGAAGCCGTGTAGAAGAGGGTGTGCCCCAGTTTCTCATCCTGGTAACCGGGGGAAAGTCAAATGATGATGTATCTGGTCCTGCTAAACAACTGAAATCAAACAATGTTGCTCCCTTAGCAGTTGGAGCTCATAATGCTGATGCAGAGGAGTTAAAATTAATTTCTTTTAGTCCGGAACTAACATTCACCATAAGGGACTTCCAGCAACTTCCAAGAGTGGAGCAACAGCTTTTGACCAAAGTCCGTACCATGACCAAAAGTGAAATTGCAAACCGCACACCAGGTATTCTACATTTCTGGTTTTATTAAAAAGTTATTTCAGGTTAATCAACAATAACATTTGATGCCTAATTTATTCATGTCATTTTTTTATTTTTACACAACCACATAACCTTTTTAGAATATGCAGTGCATTTACTACTTAATTTCATTTTTGTTTCTTATCAGTTGTTCTTAATTTTGGAAGAAAGGACATCATCTTCCTCATTGATGGCACTGACAGTGTTGGACAAAGCGGTGTTGCTCACATTCGTGACTTTATCTTGAAAGTGGTTGATCAGCTTGATGTACAACCTGACCAAGTTCGCGTGGCTCTGGTACAGTATGCTGAAAGACCTAAAACTGAGTTCTCTTTGAACTCCCACGACAACAAGCAATCGGTCATCTCTGCAATCAAAAGACTGCGTCACATGGGGGGACGTGGTGCCGACCTAGCTGAAGCAATAAAGTATGTGATTCAAAATGAGCTCAAGCCTTCTGCTGGGGTACGTCTTGGACAGGCTTCCCAGCACTTGGTTGTGCTCACTGGTGGAAGGTCAACATCTGATGTATCTACTTATGGCCAAATTCTCAAAGGCTCTCGGGTCAATTGTATAGGAATTGGTGCAGAAAATGCAGACCCAAGACAGCTGGCACAGATTACTACCACTTCTGATGACTTTCTGCAAGTGACTACTTTCCCAAATCTTCCAAACATACAGAGCAAGTTTATAGCAAGACTTAATGGAACGATTGGTGAAGAACCTCCCACTGACGAGCCAAGTAAGTGGAGAACTAATGTTATTGTTATTTTAGACATACTTACATGATGCATGTATAATGATAGGCTCTAAATGTTTTATTTTGTCTGGTTTCCCATAGCAAATGGACTCCCACAAGCCAAAGCTGCCGACATTGTCTTTTTAGTTGATGGCTCAATCAATCTTGGCAAGGACAATTTCAAAGAGGTCATGGAATTTATTCTTAATTTAATTGACCTGTTCTTTACAGAGAGAGACAAAATTCAGATTGGTCTAGCACATTATGCTACTGATGTGACCGATGTATTCTACCTCAACACCTACAAAAATAAGGATGATATTATCAATGCTATAACTCGAGCAGAGTACAAGGGAGGTAGAGAAATTAAAACAGGCAATGCCATTCGCCATGTTCAGAACACACATTTTGTAAAAGAAAGAGGCAGTCGGAAGGATGAGGGAATTCCACAGATTCTAATGGTAGTCACTGGTGGACGGTCAAGGGATGACAGCAAAACAGCAGCATTAGGTCTCAAAGCCACTGGCGTGCGCATTTATGCTGTTGGGGTGGGAGATATTGAGGACGAACTCAATAATTTGGGCAGTGAAGCTACAACGGTGGCCCGAGCCAGCACCTTCCAAGAGCTCTCTGAGCTGAATGAGCAGATTTTGGAAACACTTGATGATGATGTGAAAGGTATTGGACTGTGCACTGGAGTAAAGGATGCTACAAGAGGTTTGTTGTTTTTTTTTTTTTTATCAAGTGAAAGTTTAAGTGTACAGTTTAAGGGCCAGATTTACTAAACAGGGCAAATTAGTGTGAGAGCATAATTCCAATAAGCACAGATGGGAGTGGAAAGTTCTGCGAGTGATCTACTGGTGACTTGCAAATTAAAGAACACAGATTCATCTAGATAATTTCCATAAGGACTGAGGCAATCTACCAAGAGCAGTGCGAATTAGTATCTGGTTTAGGACATGCTTTTTTGGGTGATAAATAATGGTGCAAATACCAGAAAATTGACTAACATTAGTAAATCACCTTGCATAATTCATTTAAATACTCTCCTCCCATACATTTTTGCATCTGAAAAGGAAACTCTTACAAATGAAGAGTTCAGATGCAAAAGCCTCTAAATGCCATTTGAAATTTTCTTCAAGAATGTTAATTTTTATCAAGCTTGTATATTTAAGTTCAGTAATTTCACTTAAATAGCAATGAAGATTACCTATGAATTGTCGTTTAAGTGAAATTACTGAATTTAAATATACAAGCTTGATAAAAATGATTATTCTAGAAGAGAATTTCAAATGGCACTTAGAGGCTTTTGCATCTGAATTCTTCAAATACAGAACATAAGAAATAAGGAATAACACTGTCCACACCTTTTCAGTGAAAATCTTTCACTGTATGTCTTTAGTAAATCCTGACAGTAGTTTTTTTTTTTTTTTTTAACGCCAAAAGAGGGTTTGCACTTGTTAGTAAATCTGGCCCTAAGTGTTTTGAACAGCGGTTTGCTCTTGATTGTCATTAATCACCATCTCTTTCTACTCCCTGGCAGCATGCAAGTTGGATGTTCTTGTGGGGTTTGACGTGGCTGCACAGAACATTTTTGCTGCTCAGAGATCATTAGATTCAAAGCTATCTGCTATTCTCGAACGCATTACCCAGATGCAGCCCATCAGCTGCACTTCTGGCCAGGTTCCCTCAATACAAGTGGGCATGTTAGCGATGGACTCTGCCTCGGAGCCTGTTCAGCTGGACTTCACCAACAGATACACAGAGCTTCTTGAGCCCTTCAGGGCCCTTCGGAATCGTGGACCTTTTGTTCTGAATGGTGCCACAATCAAGGCTTATGCTGATAGATTCAAGAATCAGCCTTCAGACAGTATCAAGGTACATCATTTTCAGGGCAAAGCTTTAACCTCAAAATCTAACCATATTGTAAGTATTATCTAAATTGATTGTGGTTTTACACTCATAAAGGTTGTGATCCACTTAACTGATGGATTAGATGTCCAGTACAACATTCTGAAAGAGCAAGTTGAAAAGATGCGTTTAGCAGGTAAGCGTAATCATGATTATAAAAATAAAAATGTCTTATAAACTCCATTAATTCACAATCAAATATCAATTGGTTGTAACAATACAATCAGTTTCTTTGTTAATTATTGTTGTATTCGTTTATTTATTTATTTGTTCTATGATACTTTTGAAACTTTTGTTGTTGATGATTTATACATCGCACAATATGGTACCACTCACATTTTAATTTTGCTTTTCTTTCTTTCTTTAAGGTGTTAGTAGTTTCATTCTTGTTGCACTGGAGAGAGTGCCACGATTTGAAGATGCAGTTCTCTTGGAATTTGGCCGTGGCTTCAGGTACACACGACCTCTGCGAGTCAACCTCATGGACTTGGATTATGAGCTTCTAGAAGAACTGGTAAGAACTGTCCTCATTGCTCAGTCAAATAAGCAATCTAAGGGAAGACCTACCTCAATGACAAAAAGAGATAAATATGTTTGTTTAATGTGATTCTGGTTGACTAAATAAATTCTCTTTTTAAGGATAACATTGCTGAGCGGGAATGCTGTTCTGTTCCATGCAAGTGTAATGGCCAGAGAGGGGACAGAGGAGCTGTTGGTGTTCCTGGACCAAAGGTCAAATACATTTTCTTTTAAGAAACAACATATTTTCGGCTAAAACAATTTCAAATTCTGAAAATTTCTTAGTGATGACTCGTGTCCACGTTTCCATGTGTGATTGTCTATAGGGTCAATCCGGTGGTCCGGGCTTCAGTGGACATCCTGGTGATGAAGGTGGTCCGGTGAGCATGAATTCATTAACTACTATGAATTTCTAAAATTATTTCAAAGGCATCTCTTTTTACTCTCTTTTGTCTGTGATTCCTAGCTCCAGATCTAGCTTCTCACTTGATTCGAAACTCCCAGTTTCTAAAGTTAAATATTTTTTCCAGCATGCACTAATAAATAGACAGATCATACCTTTTCACAGTGTTAGGGTAACATGTTATAAGAAATGCATGTTATGTATTCAGATTATAATGATGTGATAATTTATTCAATTTAAACCATAACACTGTTGTTTCTTAGACTTATATACCGTAATGTATTTGCCCGTAAATAAAATGAATCCTCTACCTACCCCATATCCTCTTTCTATCAGCAACCTTAAACTTTGCAACGGTCATTGTATCGTTTAATTAAGGCACCATTTTGTCAAAAATACAATGTTTGTGCATATGGCATGTTTTTTCTCATGATCGTGATTATCCGTATTTTCACAGGGAGAGAGAGGTCCACCTGGTGTAAATGGAACTCAAGGATTCCAAGGATGTCCAGGTCAAAGAGGTGTTAAAGTAAGTGCACTTCAAGTAAATCTCACTTGTTAAGAAAGCAGATTATTGCTAAAACTTATTGATTGACTAATCCAATGTTGTTGTTTTTAGGGATCTCGAGGATACAATGGTGAAAAGGTAAGAACTTTTATAAATATTACTTGTGTTAAATTTGAATAAATATATAAATATATATTCAAATTAATTTATAGTGAATAATTATTATATAATAATGTATTACTGTAATATATCATTCACATTGTATCATATTAAAAGAATATGTTTGATTGATAACATTTTTTTTTTTTAAGGGTGAAATTGGAGAGATTGGTTTAGATGGAATCAATGGAGAAGAGGTCAGCTGATGTCTAGCAAACATGTTTAATGCTATTTTTTCCAGAAACATTTTATCAGTGATCTGTTGTACAATGGTTGGCAGTCAGTGTTCTGAGTGAATGCCAGTTAGAATGTGTTGTTGTCTTTCAGGGAACAAGGGGTGTTGTGGGGCCTCCAGGAGATAGTGGAAACCCTGGCCAACGGGTAAGTCATGTAGAATGTAGTCGTGGAGTCATGTGGAACAAATTTACAATAAATGAATAAAATGAGTTTATCTGATCTTTTTTGTGTGTTTCTAGGGGCCTAAAGGGGCCAAAGGCCAAGCAGGAGATGTTGGTCAGACTGGAATACGTGGTGATCCAGTATGTTATATAAATAGTCAGATATTTCCTCTTACTCAAGAATTTGTCGTAATTTAGAATGACTTGGGCCTTTCACACAGGACGCGGAATGCACAGCGCTCACCGCTGGGTTCAGTGTTGCTCTTCAGATACAACATGATTGCACTGTGCAATGTCAGAGCAAATTAGGCAGAGTTTTCAAAAACTTTAAGCGGGAGACCTATATGTCAGTATAATAACGTTATAACTTTTCTGGCGATGTCCCTATACGACCTCAAACTTTTATTGTACAGCTCAGGAAATTCCATAGACAGTAAAATAAATTCAGACGCACACAGTACTAGCTGTTCATCCATTTTGATTTGATTTCCGAGCTTGTTTGGATTTCCTGTTTCTCGCGCTGGTAATCGTCACAGAGTGCAACGGCAAAAGTTTAATTATTTTGAACTCTGACCGCAACCACGTCAATAGTGTGCACCGCTTACTTGCGCTTTGGTCGATGCAGCAACAAAACGTCTTCGCGTGGCGCAGTCCATTGAAATTAATGGGTTTCATAACGCAGCACAGTGCATTCAGTGTCATGTGTGAAAGGCACGGGGGTAATCCACCAGCCGGAAACTGAAGTGTCCCCCGGAGGCCGCCTTTTATTTTGGCGACAGCGAATAACTATACATCTGAGGTGTTTAAAGACTCCATTTGCCCATTGTTTATTTCTAAAGAAACACGACAATATAGAAAAGGCTCTGTCGCACAATAGAGAAATGACCATATAGACAGAAGGAGCAATCGGGGGGACGTAGAAGCATAAAGTCAAGGGAGAAGCCCATAGAGAGTCATAAAGTTAATCCTGCTGCTAGCTCATGGACAACTAATACTCATGATCTCCGGCTCTGCAAGATTCGGAAGGGAATGATTCAGATTTTTGCTTGGCACAGCTACTAGAAGTCATACAACTGCAAGACAGGTTGCTCAAGTCACATCTATGTCGTCAAGCTCAGTTTGAGACTGCTAATTGACTTCACTTTTCTCTATTGAAGTCTATGGGGTCGCTGTGTCGATTTCTTTCACTGTCTATGCTTCTAATTGACTTTACTTTTCTCCTTTCAAGTTAATGGGTCGCTGTGACCATTTCTTTTACTGTCTTGGAGGAATGACTTAAAGCTATTGGTAAAATCTCTTCATTGGATGACGGGCAGAAATTGTTTATGTTATTATTGGACTAAGACCCTCACCCCCTTTTTTTTCTTTTCTCCTTCATGTTCTTTTTTCTAAGTGATCTATCAACACGAAAACAACTGTGATCGTTGATTTATGCCTTAATTGATTGTACTCGAATTCTCTATATTAATAAAAAAAGAAAAAAATAATTATTTTACTGTCTATTATGGTGAAAGGCCCATTAGGCAACCGCTTCCAATTATCGCTTCCATTATGAGCGTTTGAAACATTTCAACAACATTTGAAATAACGAACTTGAGCGTGCAAAATATGCGATATGTGAGCAGACCCTTAGTCTTCATTCAATAAGAGAATTTGTTGCTGTTGTGGTTATAGGGCACCCCTGGAAGTGACAACAACCAAAGGGGACCAAAAGGCGACCCAGGCGATGCTGGCCCAGCGGTATGGTCAATTTTTTTAGACTTAGTTAATCAGTCTTTCTGGTGGATTTTTATATTTATTTGATTGTGTCTGGTCAGAGCAGAGGTCAGGACCATAGAAAATGTTCAAGCATCCATATTGTGAAGTAACAAGCTTCATCTCAGTAATTTAAAAGTCATATAAGTTGCTATATCAATTATTTCTCATTACATGTTATTTTTGTTTCTGGATATGGTCAAGCTAAGACTTTTTAGTTTCTGCATATTTGTTCAGTGTGGACCATAACATGTTTGTTTGTACTTTTTGAATAAAATGGACAACTGCAATGCAATCTTTGGATCTTTAGGGAGAGCCAGGGGTGGATGGAACTAAAGGAGGTCCTGGTGAACCAGGCAGACGGGTATGCTTTCTCGACCAAAGGGATTGTTTGTTTTTTCTTTCTTAACCAGTTTATAAATCTTCTCTTAAAACCCCTTAACTCAATCAAATGTTTAGAACCAAAGAAATGTGTACACTATTATGAGATAAAATCATTTAAATTTCTAAACTGACTTTAATAACCATTCAAAATAGTATGTTGCCTCAAGTTTAAGCCCTATTATCTATGGCAATACATGATTTGAAATGTTTTGTAGTAGAGCATGAAATGGTGAGTGACAGATGTTCTGTTCTCTTTTGAAAAAGGGCTCTGATGGTAGAAGGGGGCCTCCCGGTCAAGCTGTGAGTAGACATAAGCTATTCCATGCCAACCATTAATGGAAATAAACATTATTTTAACACTTCCATAGTAATCCCATTGTTGTTGTTTTTTATTATTATTATTTATTTATTTATTTGTGTGTGTGTGTTTTTTGATGGCCCTGTTGCATTTATAGGGTGTTGCTGGAAGACCCGGAAGTGATGGTTTAGCAGGCGAGACAGGAATTGGAGGACCTCGGGTAAATAAGTTGTAAAAAGCAGTTTTGCAAAACAGAAGACCCATAATATGTTATATATGCAAACATAATGGGTCCAATCTGGTTTACAGTCTGGTTACATTTATTTTTTCATGCAAATTTGCATGCTTGTCCTACAGTTTCATTATTAAATACAAAATAAATTATAGATAATATAAATATATTGTATCTGTACTTTAGGGTCCCGCTGGACCAATTGGAGCACCTGGTATTAGAGGAGAGGATGGAAACCCTGGTCCAAGGGTAAGTGAAGAAGTTTAAGCATGTTATTTTCCTTGTTTTCTCTGCTACTAAAAAGGGATTGTAACAAGCATTATGAATTTGGGAGCAGACAAAAGGTTTAATAACTTTATACTTGCACTAAACAAGAGTTTTGATTTATGACTTAACAAATGAAAAGAATAAATCTCCTGTTTTATATGAGTAATCTTATTCTTATTTTATATTTATTTTTAGGGACCAGGAGGACTGCCAGGATCTGCTGGAGAAAAGGGTAGAAGAGGTGCTGTTGGCCGCAAGGTACTGGTCACCTTTAGCATTAGCAATTCCTTTGCCAGTCAGTTACACTCTCTTTCTTCAGTTATCATTGGCAAGCTTTAGCAATTTATTAAAGAAAACATCTCACTGTCGACCTAAAGCAAATTTTCTGGGGAGTTTGTATTTATACAATTTGGGCAGAGGAAATTAACTCACTTTTTTTTTCTTTTTTTTTTTTTTTTTTTTTTTTACTGCATTAGTGTGAGAAGTATGATGCTCTTTTTGCTGTTACATTTCATTCTATCTTAACTGCTTTGTGTGTCACCATTGCACCTTTTTTACCTTATAATTTATACAATTATGATTCACTTTTTTCACTTTCACTCTAAAGGGTGAACCAGGGGACCCAGGACCTAAAGGTGTTTTGGGACCCCAGGGACCCCGTGGGGAGCCTGTAAGTGAGGAGTCACAACCTACACCAGTCATACCAAATAGATGTTATACATTGTAGCAATAATAACACGTGAGCTTAGAATTATAAGGTTCTATCTCCACTTTTGGTCAAAATTGAGTTTTTGACATAATCTGATCCATTAGGTGTTAATAATGCCTGTGTGGTGTTATTTTTGTAAAAAAAAAGATTAATAGATAAAGCTATAATAGAAGATTATACTACATAACAGTTTTGCCAGCTGGGATGTAAAAACTTTGATGCTCAATATCTCAGAACTAACCAAAACGGAGATAGAACCTTATAATTCTAAGCTCACGAACAACCATCAGCGTTAATATGTGAGACATGGATGAATAGATAGAATTATTATAAACATTAAAACATAATAAAAGTAGAAAAATAATAAAAGGATAATAAAAGGATATCTAAAAAGTAGATATCCTCTCTATACAGGGTGAGGATGGACGAGATGGGTTTGGTGTACCTGGTCCTAAAGGAAGAAAGGTGAGTGTTTGTTTCTGTATAACATTTTTTTTTTTTTTTGTATAGTGAACTGTTTACTCAATGTATTTCACACTGAACACAATTTAATGTTGTTTTAGGGTGATGAAGGTTTCCCTGGTTTCCCTGGTCCAAAGGTGAGATTACTGGAGTCTGCAGCCTTAAATGTTTTACACTGTAGTTTTTATACTAATGCACTCTGTGCAAAACATTAGAAGTAACTAGATGTTTAATCTGAATCGATTGAAAGGGTGAGGCAGGTGACCCTGGTTCAAAAGGAGGACCTGGACCTAGAGGAAACAATGGCCAGAGGGTGAGTAATCTTGATTGAACTGTTTTTATTAGGTCATTACGTCCATATTGCTGGTAATGACAGATAATATGTTTTGTAGGGTACCTCAGGAGGACGTGGTGGTCCTGGTCAAAAGGGAGATATTGGATACCCAGGGCCCTATGTAAGCGAAATATTTTATATTATACGGATTTCTTTGACGTTTTCTGCAACAAATCCTGCAACAAATCTTTAAAAACAGGAATGCTGACTTTGAATGAACAATGTGGCTCAGTTGAGGCATGAAACAATGGACTCTCTTACAAACCGTGCAACTTCCTTTGCTTTGATTTACTCAAGCTGTTGATTATTATTATTTTTTACTGGTGACAGACATTAGTTAGGCTCACAAAAATGCTCTGTGGATGAAATCCAGATCGCTCTAGCCAGCTGTGTTTAGCTGTTGAGAAAGTGTCTCTCTCTGATTTTTTTTCTGTTGTCAAAAACAGGGCCTTAAAGGACCCAGAGGAGTTGGTGCTGTGGTGTGTACTTTTCCTTTCTTTCACTTTATAAGTGTCTTTATTGTTTATTCCTACTTAAATGTTTGGAAAAATAATGACAATTTTTTCTCCTTACAGCAATGTGATTTGGTCAAGAAAATTAGGGATAACTGTCGTAAGTATATTGACTGTCCAGTGTAGATCTAATTATGTTCCTTTTCTTATTGTTGTACTTTTCATTTTATAGAATTTCTTATAGTTATACTTTAATGTTTTGAAATCTTTCTTTTTCTTTTTTTTTTTTTTTTTTTTTTAGCTTGCTGCTATGGTAAGTAATGAGTGAACAATCTCTTCTGCATTTCCACTGGGCTGTAAGAGTTTCAAACTCTCATTCCATAATACTGTACTTTCTGTTCAGCTTTTGATTTTTTAATTCCTCAGGTGCTCAGGAATGTCCCCTATACCCAACTGAGTTGGCCTTTGCCTTGGATTCATCAGATGGTGTATCTCGCTCTGCTTTCAACAACATGCGTGACACTGTTCTCCGCTTGGTCAGTGACATCACTATTGCTGAGAGCAACTGTCCCCGAGGTGCCCGAGTTGCTCTAGCACTCTACAACAATGAGGTGACTACCGAGATACGCTTTGGAGATAGCCAGAAGAAGCGAGCACTTGTTGAGCGAGTTCAAGGGCTCCAGGCTCAGCAGACCCGTAAGCAACGCAGCTTGGAGACAGCCATGAACTTCATTGCACAGAACACATTCAAGAGAGTTCGCAGTGGCTTCCTTGTGCGCAAGGTTGCGGTTTTCTTTGTCAACGGCCCTGTTACTGTCACACAAGAATTCAGTGCCGCTGCTCTGCGCCTCTATGATGCAGGAATCTCCTCTGTATTCCTTCTTAACCGTGAAGATCGTCAACTCACAAGAGCCTTGCAGGTAGGAGCAGCAAAAGGGCAAAAATTGTAATTGGCGTCTTTAAGAATAAGAACTAGTTCCATTCCATTTCCATTACTGTTGGTAAATGTTTTCATTCATCCAGTATTTTTCATCACTCATCTAAGTGGCTTCATCAACTGTCCTTGTGTGAATGCCCTTTGTCTTTACACATTAGAAAACTGTTCAGAAAGTGTAACAGCCATACAATGTTGGGCCATCATGACAGTAGTTGTTTCATTGCCCCAGTATATAAGCTTGACATATACTGAAATGCATATATTGGATAACTTTACTTTGGTGTTGGTCTCTGCCTTAAGCTTAAAGTGTTCAGGTCATAGGCACAAAAAATGAGTAACCAAGTAGCCAAAAAAAGCCAAGTAACTTCACACCTTCAGTGAGCTAATTTCCAAATCAGATTACAGCTTACATCTTTTTGTAGTGTTTGATGTTGTGATGTGGGAAATGTTGGTCAACCTCTCGTACACATTAACTGTAATTAACTCTACATAAACTTTACCTGGCAGGTGTAATACATGTTTTAGTGCACCAGTTGTACATTAAGACTTGACATAACCAATGTTTTGATTAGATGTTTGGTGTAAACGAAACCATATCATTGTTACAATCACTCTGTTTCAGCTTAACAACACTGCGTTAGCCCAGATTATTGTCCTACCCTCACCCGGAAGTGCTGAATACAACAATGTAATCAAGAAGATCATGACGTGCCATATCTGCCTGGGTAAACCTGTTATCATGTGAACTACTGTTCAGAATAAAAAAAGCCTCCAAACTAATTTATTTTAAATAAAACCATGAATATATAAACTTTTCAAAAATAGTAGCAAAAGAGAATTTTTTAATGCAATATTTAATCTGTCACAATTCTTTTAGACTTCTGTGCCCCGGATCAGATCTGTGATTATATTCCTCCACGTGGAGTCCGAGACCGGAGGGATCCCACCACTGACTTGGACATTGACATGGCCTTCATTCTCGATAGCTCAGAGAGCACCTGGCCCGCCGTCTTCTTAGAGATGAAGCAATATGTGGCTCTAATGATAGAGCAGCTTGAGATGTCCCCTGAGCCAACCAGCACTACCCATCACGCTCGAGTGGCACTTGTCCAGCATGCACCTTATGAATACTTGCACAATGGCAGTGGCATTCCCATCAGGGTGGCCTTCGGTTTGACAGATCACAACTCACCAAACAGTGTCCGAAGCTTCTTACAGGATAAGGTGCACCAGCTGGAGGGTGGACGTGCCCTTGCAGCTGCTCTTGAAGGCACTGTTGAGCATGTGTTTGAGAAGGCACCACATTCCCGCCACTTGAAGGTATTAGTTCTCTTGGTGACTGGACCAGTTGAACTGCACGAGGAGAGGATAATAAGGGCCGCTACTGAAGTTAAATGCAAAGGTTACTTCATAGTGGTGATGGCAGTTGGAAAGCTGTTCAGTTCAGGTGATGTCCGTGTCCTGGCCCAAGTGGCAAGCGAACCTTCAGATGTGTTCTTTAAGAGGGTGGATAGACCTTCAGGCTTCTATGATGACCATATTCAGACATTTGCTCGACTGTTGCCCAAGTACCTCGGCCGTAAGTCATCATTTACCGTTCTCAAAATGTTTAGGAAAGTTGCCCTTTATATCCAATGATGTATTAGCCTGTCATTTCATAGCAGGGACTGTCTCTAACAGTTTCTTTATTCTTTATATATAGTTGAAAATGCTTTCTACCTGTCGCCTGAAGTCTCTACGAAGTGTCAGTGGTATCAGAGTGACCAACCACACAAAGTCCCATTCACTTTACCACAAACAGAGGAGTGAGTATACTCATGAGCAAAGTTCCCTGTAAACCGCACATGTACACATATGATATTGCTCCTGCATAGACAGACCGAGTCAGAAGACAGAGAATACTCTATGAGTTGCTAATTAATTAGTTTGTCAATATATTGTATGAATATCGCTATGATTTAATTTTCCAGGAAACACCAGAAGCATTATGGACAGCAGGAGGTTCATGATACAAAACATAAAGGTACTGACAGTGTGCACTGTAGGTTGAGTGTATTTGTTTATTAAAACAATGTTTAAGTCATGTCTCATTTGTGAATGTGTTTGCTCAGAAACAGGTATGGAGGAACTGCATCTGGTTAACGTCACCTCCAGCGGATTCTCCCTGCAGTGGTTAAGTGGCGATTCAAAGGCAACCCATGAGGTTACTGTGACTCGTCTGAAGGATCATAGTCTGGTACTGAGAAAAAATGTGACCGGCAACCATCTCTCCATTACTGAGCTGGAAGCAGCCCAAACCTATCACGTAGTGGTCAACTCTCAGAATGTCAATGGTCATGTTACCAGAACTTACAAAGGCATTGTACCCACAAGTAAGCTCATCATGTTTTCACATTAAAGCAACGTACGTAGTTGAGATTATGATAAGTATTAAATAAGTAATGACATGAAAAGGTATGCTTTAACTGTCGTTAACAAACTACAAATTTCTTTCTACTCCAGTATAAAGCAGTATCATTTTATTTTTTTCTATTTCAGTTGAACACAAAATAAGTTATTTAGCAGAATTTCTAGATACTGTATAGAACAAGGAGGCAATCATTCAAATCGTTATACAGACATTCTGCTGCAGATTAATTGTTGTAGATTTATGATAGATCAGTGCTTAACTTCACAAATGGAGAAGAAATTGCACTAAAAACTTATTTGGTTAGTGAAAGAGATTTGCGACCTGTGCTGGAAGACAACATTTTTAGGGAATAGCAGTTTATGGTCTGTTTCTCACAAACTTTTGAGGGGTTGGTCAGCCAATAGGATCTTTAATGATCACTTACCATGAAAAATCATACAGGTTTCCAACGTCAGTAGAGTGAACTGTTGATGTAATTTTATTTTTTGTGAACTGTTCTTTTAATGTTGGGCTCTGCAGGATGACATTAACCTCATTGTCATCTGTTTAAACAGAATCAGCACATCCGAAGGTCCTAACTGTAAGTGATGTGATGGGGATTGTGCCCACTGCACCCTTGAGTAAACCAGAAGCAAGTAAGTGGCAGAGAATTTGCTCAACAGATTGTATCTGTGGATTTTTTTTTTGTTGTTGCATATTTTATTAGTATAACTTAACGAGCAAAGAGTTTGATTGAAGGGTTTTTTTTTTTATTCACCCTATGAATGCTTGCCAGAAAACTGAGCGATGAAACATCAAGAAAACCTTAAATTTGTCCTTTTTAACAGAATCAGCAGAACAGAAAATTCTTAATGCCAGTGGAATGATTGGGTTGATGTCCACTGCACCTTTGAGTAGTCCAGATATTAGTAAGTGACAGATTAGTAGAATACAGATTTTTTTTCTGAATATGATATAACAAAAACCTGTAATAATACTGTATTTTAACCTTGTCCATAGTTCAGAGTTTGATAAGTATGAAAGTATTTATGATTACTGTAAACTAAGATCCATGCAGGAGTTAGTTAACTTCAGATTTCTTTTGAACAGAATCAGCAGAACAGAAGGTTATTGCTCCAAGTGAAGTGATGGACTTTGGGCCCTCTGCACCCTTAAGTAAACCAGAAATGAGTAAGACGCATGAAGTATTTTCTCTATAAAATATAAGAAAGAGTCTTTTTCAGCTAATATAGTATAACAGGTAAAGCTTTTACTATAAGTATAAAACAAATCCTATCAACAGATTCATTCTTAGTCTATTCCCCTTAATTTATTTTGATGGCCCTTGCTTGAGTACTGTTATATAGTTCAGAGTTTAAATGTGAATGCATTATTAAAACAATGATCTCATTGAGATCTAATTAATTTCATATTGGTCATAATGAACAGAAACGGCAGAACAGATGGTTCTTGCTCCGAGTCAAGTAATGGGGATGGAGTCCTCTGCACCCTTAAGTAAACCAGAAATATGTAAGTGATACAGACGATCAACCCCACTGAAAAAAAATATTTTTATATGTCCAATATCGTTTTTTGGGGGGATTCCACAAACAAACAGCACATGCATCAGCATAAATGAATGAATGTTTTTAATTTACTTGTTTGTGAGATTCTCAGACAAGTTTTTGAATTTGAATTTTTGGAGAACATCTTGTTTAAATTATACATCAAAGCAGCAGCATTGTGGGTGCTTTGGGATAAAAAAAAATCATAGCATTAGAGGTTTCTTGTATGTCAGGCTTGTGCAAGATCAACAATGAAATGTCTGCATACACAATATTAGTTTTTGTACTGATTGTTTAAAAGATAAAAAAAAAAACAGTTAAACTTGTATAACAGCTTAGAAACCTGTATGTTAAACAGGGTTTTGTAGTGTTGGAGGATTGAAAAATCTGTACTATAAATGATTTCTTGATTCTGTTCTGTTATGATTGAGGTATTTAGCATAGTAAATCAAGAAGATCATTGTCTTTTAAGTTGGTAATAGGGAACCCCTTTTCATTCAGGACAGTTTGACTTCTAAAAAAAACATCATTTGACTTGATAACCCACTAACAAAGTTTGATACTTTGAAGGAAAACAGGGATTGTTTCACATAAAAGGCATGTTTACTCAATGGGGGTTATGATGAAGCAGACATTTGTGAGATGGCCATAATGAGACTGACATCACATTAATTACATGCAGATGGCACTTGTACAGCATATAAATCAAATAAACTGAAAATGGCAGTATATGTGCTTTAAAGTGGTTTTGGATCAACAGTGCTGACAATACTAAAGTGAATGCACTAAACTTACTCCTATTCTGAGACAAAGATGTCTAGCCTGTGAATAGAGAACTGTATCTCTTTTGGTGGCCTTTCCAAGTGTAACATACAACAAAGCTTAAACATTACAGTTTGAAATGAAACATGGTATGCATATTCCTGATTTTGCTAACCCATTAAAATAATTAGTTAATCCCATTCGAGCTATAACAATCACCTAATATCTACAGACTAAATGTTAATTTTACTGACAACACTAACTGTCTGTCTTTTCTCTTTCGTGACAATCCCTCTTTGTTTGTCTCTGTGTTTGCATGTTTCAGTTAACAATTTTATGGACCCATGCTCACTTGACTTTGACACTGGACTGCCATGCAAAGATTACCAAGCTAAATGGTACTTTGACAGAAAGAATGGATTCTGTACACAGTTCTGGTATGGAGGTTGTGGAGGAAATGACAATAGGTTTCAGACTGAGGCTGATTGCCTCAAACGCTGCATGAAGACAGGTATGTGCGCCCTTTGACCCCTTGACCTGAACGCCGAAGCAATCAATTTGCCCTGTTATCTCTATTTAGGAGAATAATTAATAAAATCAGTCTATAAAAGCAGTTTACAGCTTGCAGTACACATGTCAAAAACGCTTCAATCCCAAAATAGGATTAGGACACAAAATTAGACTACTTGTCAATTAGATTATTTATATCTAAATCATTTACAGCACACTAAATGCAGTGCCTTACTCAGATATCATTGTATGATTCACCCAGTAACTCTCCAGTACTGACCAACAATGACCGTATATTACTAGCAGAGACTTTCCCTCATAGAGGAAATGACAATAGGCACTCTTAAAAGGGAGTACAATTAAATGAAAGATAGGAAACTTGTTGTTCAATTATTTTATTTTATTTTTTTCTTATTACCACAGTGGCTGAGTATAAAGCAAGTGACAAGCATGTCAAAACTGTTCTCCCCCCAGCACCAGCTACAGGTCAGTCCTCCGGTTACATTAATGTCTGAAAACCTCTTGAACCTTTTTCAAGAGTGATGAAGTGTTCGAAATTCTGTTATAGGACCACTTTATTAAAAATGTGCTGTACTGTGAGTAATGCATTTGCAATTCAGAAGAGATCAGATAATTTTAGTAATCACTGATGCGTGTACATTGATTTACACAAGAAACGGGGTTCATGGATAATAATGTGGGAAATATGGCCCATGTGAAGGTTAAGAACTGCCTTCTTGCCAAAGACCTTTGAAAATGTTAAGACAACACCTCTTTACTTGTTATGTAATGCACATTCCTTAGTGAACAATACTTTTTTTTCAACACTTTTTTATGACCTCTAAAAAGAATACTGTTAAATTATTGTGTAAATGTAGTATTAAGTGAACTGAAAGGTCTGTATAGCTATAGCTAATTTTAAGGCAAAACACAATGTTTTAAGAAACTAGGTTTCAGATGACATAACATGTTAAATGCCAGTGTCCACAGAGGACAACACTTGATGCCGTCTAGTTAACTAAACAAACCTGCTAATTTTACAAAACCTCACTGAGATCCAGTATATCTGAAAGGCTTTTGCAAATAAATATATATTATATTCAATTCTGTCATTTTTCTTATCCTCTCTCTCTAACAGCTGGCTTGCACTCTAGTGTGGATATCTGCAAGCTACCAAAAGAAGAAGGTTCCTGTGCTAAATTTGTGCTTAAATGGCATTATGACCCACTTAGTGGAAACTGTACTCGCTTCTGGTACGGAGGCTGTGGAGGGAACCAGAATCGCTTTGATACACAAGATGAGTGTGAAAAGGCCTGTGGAAAAGCAGGTGAGATTACTTTTAAAAATTGCATGTCAAAGTGAAATTAGTGTGAAGATTGATTAAGCCATTACTTTAACATTATGTGTTTTTAACAGCACCTGTAAAAGAAGGGATCATTGCAGCGGTTAAAACATAGAAACTAATGAAGACTGTGAGCTAACCACTGACGACATTTAGAGGAAATAGCACCTAAAACTAGAAGCTTCACTACAGCCAAGATGCCTGCACTGGAACCTGCCAGAGGATTTGATCCAAAGAAAACCTTGAAGTAGTATTTTCCAAATAAGAAAAAAGCAGAACAAGTTTCTTTGTTTCGTGCTGGTGCTACAATCAGTTTCTTTAATATTTTTAAATTGTTTTATTTTTAATGTGTGTTTGGGTTTGTAGGAAACCCAGTGTAAATGTCCAGGGAAAAATAGACAACATTTTTTTTTTTGGATTTTTTTTTGTTTAAATCACATGGTTTGTTTGTGGAAATAGTTTGATCAAAACATATCAATAAATCTTTGTAGTTACGAGACAGGTTCATGACAGTTTACTTTAATTTAGTAAAGTCTGCTCCTACTGCAGTACCCTCATTATGTTTTTTTACTGCTTGGAAGGAATAATCTTAATTGCTCTTTTTGGTCATACCGCTGGAGATCTCCACTGAAGATCCCCTCTGAATCTCCATGCATGCTATGTTGATGTTTTCAAATTAGGTAATTATAAAATGACCATCATCTGAAAAAACTATGCACTTTTGGAATCATTGCCTTACACACAAGTTTTGATTAAAAAAAAAAAGCAATTGGAATGTACTGTTCAAACTGTATTTTTGGGGGGTTTGGTGGGTTTTTTTTGTTTTGTTTTTTTTTGTTTGTATTTGGAAATGGGAAGATATAAATAAATTAGTCTTTATATAAAACTTTGATTTTGATTTGTCCTTTCTTTTTTAACTTATTGTAATGCATTAGAAGCTTAAAATTATTTTACTCCTGCTAGGCTGCTGGGAGTCATTCTGAGAAGAATATCCCTTTTTATGACTCTGAGCATTCAATAAAAGTACTGCTAAGAGAACAAGAAATTAAACATTTGCATGCTTAAGGGAGAGTGTTTAATGCAGTAAGCATAGCAGCTTATATTTCATAGCTCCATGAACAAGATTGTCTTCCTTTAACTTGCACACTTCCACAATTTGATATATGTCAGACTTTGAGAAATTAAAATAAATCAATCAATTCATTCAAAGTGCAGGAATCTGAAAAAGAGGCATGCTTCTGAATTCATCTGTTGCACCAAGGCATTGATTCCCCCCCCCAAACCCCCCCCCCCCCCTCTCTCTCTCTCTCTCTCTTTCTCTCTCTCTCATATGATGGAAATTACCCCAAATAAAGACTGTTTGGGGAGGACAGGCAGCTTCATCAGCAGACGTTTTATAAATCAAAGTTTGTTATCTTCAGTTAAAAACATTTCATTGTGAACTCCATGTGACCCAATTTCGGAGTTCTGAATTTAAAAATACTGCATGTTTTCATAGGAGCACTTCCTTATTAAACACCCAAAACCAGTTCCAGCCATTTATATCCACAAAATAAGGTTATTAGCAAATTTAAGTGTATAATCTCCATCAACAGCTGAGGTGGTAATGCATGATTTATTATCTGGTTTTCCATTCTTAAATTGCGCCTCAATCGTCACGTCTTATATCACCATATAAACAATTTACACAGTGCCTCAGTCTGATTTGTTATGTACACGTGTTGCATTTTTCTCTGCCAGTCTGTAAATCCACCACTGCAGTATACGAATTATGTTCAATCCTGAACAATCATGTGGCCTTGTGGGCTTTGCAGCAGTCCCTCTGGCCCAGAGGCGTAGCAAGCTTTTGAAAAGTGTGGGGGATGGATGTGTCATTTAAATTTGGGCATGTTACGTAGACCCCTGTCCCTCTAGGGGGGTTTGGGGGCATGCTCCCCCGCAAGAAAATTTGATACATTTTAAGGTTAAATGCATCAATCTGGAGCACATTGAGAGCTCAAAATTAAGAGCTTCAACTGGATTCGACCCAGGCCTGTGCACATTGAACAACGAAAAAGCATGGACTTGTTGCTTACCTAAAGAGGGCTCAAACATCTTTATAGTTAAGATATAGAGTTTGTCATTATATTCTATATTATGCTATCAAAATTACAATACTTTTGTCCTAATTTCTTCACTTGTAAGAAATAAACCCTTGAGCTTTTATTTAGGAGAAAACACAGAACACCATGCTGATCGTGTGAGCAAAGAGCACGTTTTTTTTTTTTTTTTTTTCAAATCACCCAGCATTACAAACAGAATGCCTAACGCAAGTCTTGTACTGTTTATCCAAAAATACGAAATATAATAATGAAAACACTGGACATGTCAATAAAACATAAACATAACATCTTCCCAAACACATATCAAGCTTATTTAAAAAACTCGAAAGCATAAACACTCATTCAAAGTACCTGGAAAAGGGAGATGTAAACAACCATAAGTTCCCGCCTCCTCAGCACGAGCTGACCGATACATCTAACACATCAGGAGAGGCGGGACTTAAGGCAGAACAGCCAATCATCAGCCGGACACACTCAAAGCCGGTGTCATGTTTGAGAGGAGACAGCCGCAGCGAGCGCACACACACACACTGAGCGCCAGAGAAACGGAGGAGCGGCTGTAGAAAGGCGTTTGTGTAAAACTGCGGAAAAACGGCAGAAAAAGTGCGGGTGTTGAACACTCTCACCGGGAAAAGTGTGGGTGTTAAAACACCCACATCCCCCATGGTTGCGACGCCCCTGGGCTCTAGACCCTTCCAGAGCTGAGATATCGAAACTCAAAAAATCGACCCGAAAAAAAAAAACGACAGTGGTACCCCTTTCGTTTTTTTTTTTTTCGGGCGAAAAATTAAGTTTCTCCAATCTTCTCAAAACTCTGGATTCTGATAGAGAGCCATGAGACTTAACCTGAGTGCAAAAATGGAGGCTCTAGACCCTTCCAGAGCTGAGATATCGAAACTCAAAAATTCGACCCGAAAAAAAAAAAACGACAGTGGTACCCCTTTCGTTTTTTTTTTTTTGGGGCGAAAAATTAAGTTTCTCCAATCTTCTCAAAACTCTGGATTCTGATAGAGGGCCATGAGACTTAGACCTGAGTGCAAAAATGGAGGCTCTAGCCCCTTCCAGAGCTGAGATATCGAAACTCAAAAATTCAACCCGAAAAAAAAAAGACAGTGGTACCCCTTACGTTTTTTTTTTTTGGCGAAAAATTAAGTTTCTCCAATCTTCCCAAAACTCTGGATTCTGATAGAGGGCCATGAGACTTAGACCTGAGTGCAAAAATGGAGGCTCTAGACCCTTCCAGAGCTGAGATATCGAAACTCAAAAATTCGGCCCGAAAAAAAAAACGACAGTGGTACCCCTTACGTTTTTTTTTTTTTGGGCGAAAAATTAAGTTTCTCCAATCTTCCCAAAACTCTGGATTCTGATAGAGGGCCATGAGACTTAGACCTGAGTGCAAAAATGGAGGCTCTAGCCCCTTCCAGAGCTGAGATATCGAAACTCAAAAATTCGGCCCGAAAAAAAAAACGACAGTGGTACCCCTTACGTTTTTTTTTTTTGGGCGAAAAATTAAGTTTCTCCAATCTTCCCAAAACTCTGGATTCTGATAGAGGGCCATGAGACTTAGACCTGAGTGCAAAAATGGAGGCTCTAGCCCCTTCCAGAGCTGAGATATCGAAACTCAAAAATTCGGCCCGAAAAAAAAACGACAGTGGTACCCCTTACGTTTTTTTTTTTTGGGCGAAAAATTAAGTTTCTCCAATCTTCCCAAAACTCTGGATTCTGATAGAGGGCCATGAGACTTAGACCTGAGTGCAAAAATGGAGGCTCTAGCCCCTTCCAGAGCTGAGATATCGAAACTCAAAAATTCGGCCCGAAAAAAAAAACGACAGTGGTACCCCTTACGTTTTTTTTTTTTGGGCGAAAAATTAAGTTTCTCCAATCTTCCCAAAACTCTGGATTCTGATAGAGGGCCATGAGACTTAGACCTGAGTGCAAAAATGGAGGCTCTAGCCCCTTCCAGAGCTGAGATATCGAAACTCAAAAATTCGGCCCGAAAAAAAAAACGACAGTGGTACCCCTTACGTTTTTTTTTTTTGGGCGAAAAATTAAGTTTCTCCAATCTTCCCAAAACTCTGGATTCTGATAGAGGGCCATGAGACTTAGACCTGAGTGCAAAAATGGAGGCTCTAGCCCCTTCCAGAGCTGAGATATCGAAACTCAAAAATTCGGCCCGAAAAAAAAAACGACAGTGGTACCCCTTACGTTTTTTTTTTTGGGCGAAAAATTAAGTTTCTCCAATCTTCCCAAAACTCTGGATTCTGATAGAGGGCCATGAGACTTAGACCTGAGTGCAAAAATGGAGGCTCTAGCCCCTTCCAGAGCTGAGATATCGAAACTCAAAAATTCGGCCCGAAAAAAAAAACGACAGTGGTACCCCTTACGTTTTTTTTTTTGGGCGAAAAATTAAGTTTCTCCAATCTTCCCAAAACTCTGGATTCTGATAGAGGGCCATGAGACTTAGACCTGAGTGCAAAAATGGAGGCTCTAGCCCCTTCCAGAGCTGAGATATCGAAACTCAAAAATTCGGCCCGAAAAAAAAACGACAGTGGTACCCCTTACGTTTTTTTTTTTGGGCGAAAAATTAAGTTTCTCCAATCTTCCCAAAACTCTGGATTCTGATAGAGGGCCATGAGACTTAGACCTGAGTGCAAAAATGGAGGCTCTAGCCCCTTCCAGAGCTGAGATATCGAAACTCAAAAATTCGGCCCGAAAAAAAAACGACAGTGGTACCCCTTACGTTTTTTTTTTTTGGGCGAAAAATTAAGTTTCTCCAATCTTCCCAAAACTCTGGATTCTGATAGAGGGCCATGAGACTTAGACCTGAGTGCAAAAATGGAGGCTCTAGCCCCTTCCAGAGCTGAGATATCGAAACTCAAAAATTCGGCCCGAAAAAAAAAACGACAGTGGTACCCCTTACGTTTTTTTTTTTTGGGCGAAAAATTAAGTTTCTCCAATCTTCCCAAAACTCTGGATTCTGATAGAGGGCCATGAGACTTAGACCTGAGTGCAAAAATGGAGGCTCTAGCCCCTTCCAGAGCTGAGATATCGAAACTCAAAAATTCGGCCCGAAAAAAAAAACGACAGTGGTACCCCTTACGTTTTTTTTTTTTGGGCGAAAAATTAAGTTTCTCCAATCTTCCCAAAACTCTGGATTCTGATAGAGGGCCATGAGACTTAGACCTGAGTGCAAAAATGGAGGCTCTAGCCCCTTCCAGAGCTGAGATATCGAAACTCAAAAATTCGGCCCGAAAAAAAAAACGACAGTGGTACCCCTTACGTTTTTTTTTTTTGGGCGAAAAATTAAGTTTCTCCAATCTTCCCAAAACTCTGGATTCTGATAGAGGGCCATGAGACTTAGACCTGAGTGCAAAAATGGAGGCTCTAGCCCCTTCCAGAGCTGAGATATCGAAACTCAAAAATTCGGCCCGAAAAAAAAACGACAGTGGTACCCCTTACGTTTTTTTTTTTGGGCGAAAAATTAAGTTTCTCCAATCTTCCCAAAACTCTGGATTCTGATAGAGGGCCATGAGACTTAGACCTGAGTGCAAAAATGGAGGCTCTAGCCCCTTCCAGAGCTGAGATATCGAAACTCAAAAATTCGGCCCGAAAAAAAAAACGACAGTGGTACCCCTTACGTTTTTTTTTTTTGGGCGAAAAATTAAGTTTCTCCAATCT